AAAAAAAAAAAACCAGTTTAGATATTACTTACCTTACTTTTAAGGCCATCCCTAAGAATTTGAACGAGGATAACTAACTATGCGGTAAAGTAATATAGCAGAGATAGTCAAAAGCTCTATATGCCAAGATGCTATCGAAGCAACTCGCAATTTAATATTCATCTTTTTGTCTAAGGAAGAAGAAAGGCTTTAATTATCCGTTAATAAAGGAATTTTGTCCTACAATTACTGTAACAAAAATATAAAATCCCATTAAAACATCGGTTAACATAAACATGTCGGAAAATTATATTCGGCCGCGACGGAATCTCTTATACCCATCACCGTTATCCTATCTATATCTATTCTTCAAGTCCTTATATTTGGTACCCAATTGATCATGTTGCTAAGGAAGTACGAACCCTGTCCCTTGTGGGGTCCATCATATTTATTTTAGACAAATAATATCGTCATGGGAGGAATGCACGGAATAAATTTCAAGACTTAATCTTCTTGACCTTTAGGTAAGTAATAAGCAGAAGACATAAAAATATTGAAGAAATAAAAATTTGGTGGGCGTAACCGATTTTTCCATTTTTTGACATGAAGAATAGTGTCCTGCTTAAAGTGTGGAATTTTTCATAATTTATAATAAGTAATAAGCAAAAACCCAAAAACGCGTCTGTGTCCAATTTACGCCAAATTTATGCCGATAGATTAATTTTTGCATCCAGCAGAATGTTTACCTCCTCATACACTACAATGACAGACAGACAACTATGCTTAAAGTGTTTTAGAGTTGGATGCTAGTCAACACTGTATATATATATATATATAAGCTGGTGCATAATTATGAGGCGTTCTTAAAAATTCGAACACGTTCAGCTTTATTGTTGGCACTGTGTTCGTGCGGGATCCATTCAGCCGATTTCCATTTCCATTTCCAAGCGTTTTGAGACGACGAAAGATGATTGAAAGGTCCAACATTCGAATCGTCAAGCTTTCGTCACCTTCCACGTCTAGGCTTGTTGGAGAGCAATCTAATGAATGTGCGATGAATGAGAGATCATCTGCTCAAGCGTTTTATCTTGACACGATTCATGTTTATCAACTGACATCCAAGCCATTAATTTAAATAAATAATAATTATCTTCTTGCAATGTCGATGGATGGAGTTGCACTAAATTCAATCCTAGGCTTGTTTTGCAAAAAGTGGAAATATTCATCAGAGGCCCTTGCAAAGCACAAATATTCTTATTTAACGAAAGTCTCTGTCCATACGTCCTCTACTATTAAAACGATGAGCTTTGCAAAAATTGAGAGATGATTATGATATTAAAATATATGGTATATAGTTTATAAATACATATATACATAAACTTTACGTATAAAGTATATATATATATATATATATATATATATATATATGTATGTATATTGTAAATTGATGGGTCTACGGCGAATAGAACTTTCTAACTTGCTAGCCAAGGAACAAACAAACTTATTAAAGTTTTCGTTGGACTAATTGCTCTTCTTGGAGTTTGTGTGTTAGTAGACAACTGTTGGAAGATAACATATGATAAGCTCATAAAATTACTTTTTATCGTATGTTATATTGTTCGATTGGAAAATGCCCCACTTTAAGCTAATAAGGAGCATAAATCATAATCGCTCTAAGAAGAAAGTGACAAAGAACTTTTTTAGTCATCTTTTTACACCTTATTCTTCCATGATGGCTATATAAAATGATTGAGTTCAAAAATTTTTCCAACAATTGTAAGATGAAATTTCTCGAAAATAACGCCTATTATTATTCGATTATGTTTAAAGGATACGATCAAATTGCTCCGAACTGTAAACAGGTTTGATTTGATGTACGGTCGAAGAGGTTATAAAGAAATTTAGATAAAAGTTTAAAAGAACAATAAAAATGTACAGTCCTTATTGGACATCAAGATGGTTGAAGAGACTTTTCTATCACCCAAAGATGAGGGTTATATTCATTTGGTGGAAACTTTTGTAACATCTAGAAAGAAGCATCAGAGACCCCACAGCGTCAAATTCTGAATCGATCTAAGCATGTCCGTCTGTCTGTTATAAACATTCTCTTGACCGCAAAAATGAAGCTATCGACTTCATGTTTGGTAGTTCTCGCATGCTTGGCTGGTATTCCAAATGGGACAAATCGGTCGAAGGACATGCCCATAGCACCACGTAAGCTGAGAATACGTCCGTTTCTTAAAAGGAATAAAAAATTGATGTTTTGATCATTATTCATCAATGAATGTACAACAAACTGAATATATATTCTGTGGGCAATGCCCGTAGCACCTGTACAAAAATGGAAAAAACTTACTACGCCTACGCCAATATTATCAAGTACCAAAGTTTAATTTTTTTTCAATACCTTTGTAAGACGCAGAAACAAGATTCAACAAGCCCCATAATGTATATAAATTCTTAGACAGAGTCAAATTTCGAATGCACAACTAAAACATGTTCGTCTGCCCACCTGTCTGTCTGCGTCATTCTATAGTATTTGTGGTAAAATATTATCCCGTTAGCGAAAATGAAGATATCGCCTACAAATTTGCTAAAGAATTTGGAAATGACTTAAACTTTGCCGAAGATACGCCTATGCGACAACAAATTTTTATTTTGAAAATAGAAAAAAGCAATCACGCCCACTTTACGTTATAGAGCATGAAAATTTATTTAGTTTTACCTTTTTTGGCTTTTTTTAGGATAACGGTGATGGGTATAAAAAATTCGGCCACGACCGGGCATAGTTTTCTTACTTGACTTTCTACTAAACTTTGTATGATTTTTTACTTCCATATAAAAAAAAAAAAAAAAAAAAAATGACAAACACACAGATTTTTAAAAAACAATGCCTTAGATCGCTAACGCTTACGTTATGCATCCAAATATGTGTGACAACCTGAAGATGGGCCCACCTATTATTACAGCAATCATTAGAGAGTTACTTTCAGCGTCAATTCAAGTTTATCTATCAGATATCAGATATCTGCCCATCTACTTTTGTGCTCAACTTATATTTCGCAAATTGTTGCGAGATACTGTGATCACATGCGAACGAATGAAATTATTTTTACAAACCCTCCCCATGAAACGTCTTTTTTCGAAGAAATTGTTATATGAAAAATTTAGAATCGAATGTATCAACTATCAGCTAACAATCCCCGCCCTCCCCTACTGCAATCATTTCTAGGAAACTTAAACCTTTATATGGGAAAGAGATCTAACTAATAACATGTGATTTATGATCCATTGATTGATCCATCAAATTTGAAAGACATAGGTCCAATCTTTTGGACCCAATCCTATATAAAAATTCTTCTCATTAAAAATAATTTTCGCAATAAAATTAATTTCGATAGATTTGGACCATGTCAGGTCTCTTCAGGGTTTAAATTTACATATACGGCCAACTATAGAAAGAAGGTATAATTTTTGGCATTTGGGCCTTATCGCGAAAATAATTAAAAAATTTATTATGTGTTATAGGTTTTCTAATTGTCGATCTGTCCCATCTTTTGTTTTGTTTATACTTGGGGTTTGGACCGCTGTCAACTTCATTATATGGTTTATTTAAGAACGGGATTTCATCATACGAATTTTAGTACATTGGACACGTTCAGACCTAGGTGCTATATATATACATATATATATAAATATATAAATATATATACATATAAAGTATATATATATATATATGTACATATTATTTTCTAATATGCGAATGCTTTTCATAATATTTGTAAAAATGAAAATTGTGTTAACATAATAAAGCATGCATTAATGTAATCATTATTGTAAAAACAGTTATGCAAAAATATAAATAATAAAATTTGTTAATAACACGCGAATGAACATTAATTTCTTAAATTAATCGATTAATTTAGAGTAAAATGTAAAAACATTATTACTGGCATAATAACACCATAATCCAAATACGTGATCTCTCTTCTATTCTCTTCTTTTTTTTGTTTTCTTATTTTTTTCCTTCTTTTTTTTTTTTTAATGAGACAGGAATTAGAATTAAACACCTGAGATAACTTTAAGTAATATTTCTATGTAAATTATTTAATTGAGGGAAAAAAAGTGTGTACCAAAAGTGAGCTCGAAATGAAATTTTTTAATCTAATAATTATTTAAAAAAAAAAAAAGAATAGACTATAGACTATGATGAAAAAAAATATCTGAAAAAGGAAAGTCTTAACTTAAATCGGCCCGCTTTTCGCCAATTGTATAATTATGTGAAGAGGGACGGACAGATTTACTTTTCATCATCTTCATGATAATACTAAAGCAAAAAACTCGGACATGGGATCAAGTCAGAACTGGCCTTGTTGGCCAGTTCATATATCATATGATAACAGAAACCAAACTATTTTTCGTCTTTTGTGCCATAAATGTCCATTTATTGGTAGCGGGATAAGGTGGCAGATGGTTTTTAATTAATGGAAACGAAGTTTAAATTAAATTTCAAATATCAGCTCATTTTGGATCACTCTTTTAATATAATGTTGATAATCTAAAAAATATTGAGCTCGATAGTAAACACAATTTTAGCTAGTAATTGAGTGAATAAATTGAGACTATAAATTTGAAAATTCCTTCTCAGGCTCAATATTTCTTAGACAACATCCAATATGTATGTATGTATGTATGTATGTATGTACATATGCAATTTTTTTTTTCACTAAGATGCGTCGCAACACTTTTACAATTAGCGCCTACCATATTTTTTTACATGCATCTATGCCTACTTACAAATATTTATTGAAATTAAAATTGGGTGGAGAAAAAAAACTTTTTTTTTTTTTTTTTTTTTTTTTTTTTTTCTTTGAAAAAGCGCATATAATTTTTTTCTAAACAAGATTAATACATAATTAATTGGCTTAATTAAATGTGCACTGCACCACGAATATTAAATGAATATATAAAATTTAAAAATTAGTCATTTTGCAAATTAATTACTTAAATTGTATTTACGGTATATATTTTGTGTGTATGTGTGCGTTGCGTGCTGTGCAAAAATGAAAACAGAAACATAAAAGGGGAAACATTTCAATATGCATACGAATCCAGCAAAAAATAATTGGCAATATAATATAATTAGAATGTCTGTCAACTTTCCTGCATCCACATATATGTAACGCTGCCTTTTGGAAAGGTATTCAAATGTAAAATAAAAAAAACAATGCATATAACAGCGAAAACTATACAATCACATCCTGCAATCATTCAAAAAAAAAAAAAAAAAAAAAAAAAAAAACCAATGCACATGTCCAATAACTCTATCGATTTTCTAAACGCTTCAAATTATTAGATATAACTTACTTACTCTATTATATTATTCTGTTTGTAGAAAAGCGGCCAATTCAAATAAATAAATACACTAATCATATTAAGCTTGTTCTCTCATCCTACTCAATACTCAATCAATACTGTATCCATACATTCTCTCAAATATATTTTAATATAACTTCGCACGATCGTTACTTAAAAAAAAAAAAATACTGTTTTGTGAAATTAACTCAATATCGCATTCTATTATGCATCGCTATCATATAGTTCTTAACTGTGATCGTTTTGTTTTTATGAAAGCCGTAAATAAGCAACCTTCTATAATTAAATTACATTTAGCATTCTTTATTGTGACGAGATCAGGTCAGGTGTACGATTTTTATCGTATCAATCGTACAATTATTATTCAATAATAGATCGATTAGGGACGAAGGCCAACGTTACGTATGAAATTTCCAATTCATTTCAGTTCATTATTACCTAACAAAAAAATCGTGCAAATTCGAAAGGAATAAAAGTTGTTTCAGTGATAAATGATGAATGATATCCGTTAAGAATAGATCTGACTAAGATTATTAACAAAAATCATTTATTTTTTCATTTTTCTGTTTGAATTTTGATTTTATAGATTTTTCAACTCCATATAAGACACATATATATATATATAAACAATTCCATGTTCCCTTTTGTTATGGTTTCTAGTCTATTCGATTCTAGCGTTCGTTCATCAATCACGTATTCTCCGCCGCCTGTTGTCTATAAATATTTTCCGATTTTTTACAATCTTTAAATTGCTCATCCTTTGCTCATTTACGTGGGTAGACCACTGTAAAAGTGTCTAAAAAAAAAAAAAAAAAAGAGGAGTTTGGACTGCTTTCGTGCAGCGTGTATCAAAGATTGCACTGCCCGTTGTTGTTTACCGAACTGCCAAAGTCGCCGCTCATAGCTTATAACGAAATCGGAGCGCTTTTCTCCAGATTTCAAGCGATAGACCTCACCACCATCATTCTCTCTTGCATATGTATTTTACATTTATATGATATTATACCCATACACAAACATTTAAGAGCAAGAAATCATTGCTGTTGCGCATCACGAGAGAATCCATTCTCTCAAATTTCAGTTGATGAGCTTAAATTAAAAATTAAATTACTATTATTCGCCTTCTTATCCAAAATTTTAATTGATTGAATACTTGCATGATATTGAAGATGTTTATACATTTTTCATAATGTTCACAATTCGTCGACGATAGACATTCCAAAAGTGATAATATGCGAAAGGTATATATATTTTGAATGGAATCGAGCATATTTCGTTATCTATGTTAGATATGAAAATTTTGTTTCCCTTTTTTTTTTTTTATATATATAGCAAATTTGATTCATATCTGTTGTGAATGATGATAAAGCAATATTACGAAATATTTCAAATTTTTCCAAAACTATCTTACTGTAATCGAAAAGGAGTAAGAGAGCGGCCTTTAATTCATTTAGAACTTCAAACTATCCAACTCGAGCCGATTGTTAAGTTTTGAACGTTAAATGCCATGAGAATCGAGTGTGTGTGAAACACTATCAATTGAATTTCATATACAAAAATCTCGAACAACTCACTAATGCAGTTTGAGAACGAGACCTTATTTGTCTCGACTACTATTCTAGCAAATAGCACTTTATCGCTCAAGTATTATACTCTGCTAGCAGAGTATGAATTGCCGGAAGCAATTCATAAAGCCTTACAATGCTATTACCTTCTAGAGTTGAAAATCCACTAAAGCACTTTTCCCCTTTTTCAAAAACTGAATTTTTTCACATGTTTTATATACACTTTTATTTGCTGGTTTCTTTTACAAGTCACTTATATGTAATCAATCCATGTGAAAATTGCATATGCTGTCGCCCGATTCTTGCTTCTTCTAACAATCGTAAAGTTGATCGTGAGTCTTGCTAATGACAAGATATAAAATATATTAAGTTTGTGCGGATGTATGCAACGCATAGAAAGAGCTGAATCGGAGCCATCTTTAAGCTTATATGCCCGTCTATATATCTATGTCTATCCATTCTTTGGTCTTTCTTCTTGTTTTCTTGTGTTTAACTTAACAATTTTAAAGACATCTTGATACAGTTTGATACGCTGATGTGCTTTGATCCAAGGACGAACGCTATTGAAAATGTTTCGGATCGAACCACTTTTTCGACCACTTTCCCGACCACTTTCCATAACATAACGCCTCGATACATGAATAATTGTACGTTAGTGTTACTTATTTATTTTTATTAACGTAATTACTCTGTCGATAATTTAAATGGAAATTCTTTTTTGAGCCTTTTAACTTTAACACATTCTTCTCTCTGCGTTTCATAGGGAGATATTCGACTAATGTACTTAGGTGTTTTCTGATTGTTTATATGATTTGATTTTTTTCCTGAGCGTAGTGTTGTTGCCGCTAATAGCAAATTCAAACTGATAGGGGAATATAGGAGATAGTCTTCGAATCGATCGCAGTTATGTATACAATTACTTCGTACTTCGTGGTATCCTTAATATCTTTTATAACATTTGTCATTTTCAATGACTTCAATGCCTTCGATGCCAATTATTTTGTAACCGCAATACCACTTATTATGTAAATTATTTAAAGAATGATCTTCAATCGAAATGAGAGTGCAGTTATTTAAAAACAAAAAAAAAAAAAAGAAATTCAATAATGAAAAGAAAAGTAGAATTTGTTCCTGTTCTGTCGATTGTCATATTCCTTTAGCTGTGTTAGTTTTTATACCTTAAACAGTACTTGCATTTGATGCCCAAGGAGATGACGAAGAAAATTCTCTGCCCCATTTGGATCATGGGTTTACATCGAAGCTACCACCGGGTTTTCTGACACATGGTTTACCTACAGTTAAGGATGTAGCTCCTGCTGTCACGCCAATGGAACAGAAAAAAGAGCATGAAGAAAAAAAAGAGAGTAAGTTATGACGCAATCTAGCGAATCATTTATTGAATTATTGAAAAATCAAAATTACTATTGATTTCGCATAGTTAAAGAGTTATCCGAAGATCAGAAACAAATGATAATATTGTCCGAGGACTTCCAAAAATTTGTGTTACGGGCTGGTCGCTTCATGGAACGAGCACTCTCCGAAAACGTAGACATTTATATGGACTATATTGGTGGCGGTGATAGCGAAGAGGCAAACGATGAAAAATCCCATGCTCGTCTATCTTTAAATCGTGTGTTTTATGATGACCGCTGGTCAAAAAATCGTTGTATTACATGTATGGATTGGTCTTCACATTTTCCTGAACTAGTTATGGCTTCCTATCATAATAATGAGGTTTGTGTGTGTGTGTGTGTGTGTGTGTGTGTATGTTTATGTAAAACATAATTCATTTATTAATAAACGTTACATTTTATTTCGGGTAAAAGGAGTGTCCCAATGAACCAGATGGTGTTGTTATGGTATGGAATACAAAATTTAAAAAACAAACACCTGAGGATGTATTTCATTGTCAAAGTGCCGTAATGTCGACCTGTTTCGCCAAATTTAATCCCAATTTAATATTAGGTGGCACATATTCCGGTCAAGTTGTACTATGGGATAATCGTGTTCAAAAACGTACTCCGATTCAACGTACCCCACTTAGTGCAGCAGCTCATACCCATCCCGTATATTGTTTACAAATGGTCGGTACACAGAATGCACATAATGTTATATCAATTTCATCAGATGGTAAATTGTGCTCTTGGAGCTTGGATATGTTATCGCAACCACAGGATACTCTTCAACTGGAACAGAGCCAGAAGAAAGCAATCGCTATTACGTGTATGGGTTTCCCGGCTAACGAAATCAACAGTTTGGTAATGGGAAGTGAAGATGGTTACGTTTATTCAGGTGAACATATCTACATAAATATATTTTCATTTTTATAATATAACAGTAAATAAGTTTAATTCACTCATTATAGCTTCTCGTCATGGGCTTCGTTCGGGCGTTAACGAGACTTTTGAAAAACATTTGGGTCCAGTAACGGGTATTTCTACCCACTACAATCAATCTTCGCCTGATTTTGGTCATTTGTTCCTTACCTCGTCTATCGATTGGACCATAAAATTATGGTCGTTAAAAGATCCAAAGCCATTATATTCCTTCGAAGACAATTCCGATTACGTTATGGATGTTGCCTGGTCACCAACACATCCCGCTCTATTCGCCGCTGTCGATGGTAGCGGCCGATTAGATTTGTGGAATCTTAATCAAGATACCGAGGTACCAACAGCGTCAGCTATTGTCGAGGGTTCACATGCGCTGAATCGTGTATCTTGGATGCCCAACGGTCAGCATGTCACAGTCGGTGATGATGGCGGTAAATTATATGTCTATGATGTGGCTGAACATTTAGCCCAACCCTCGCGTGACGAATGGTCTAGGTTTAGTGCCACGCTCAATGAATTGAGGATGAATCAAAGTGACGAAATTTAAGTTAAACACTATATATACACAAAACTGCAACACACTTATAATTCTTTTTTTTTTTTTTTTTTTTTTTTTTTGTAAGATGTATAAAAGACATGAATATTCTTAAATTGCAATTTTATTAGCTTTCTTCCCATTATAATGGCATCCGTCTATATCATTCTCTTATATGCTTCGTGTTCGTGCGAATATCACGCGAACGAATATTTTGTAATTTAATAATAAATTAATTATTTATTTCATTGCTTCGTCACATTTTTCTTATCCCATAATATTTTCTCATTCATTTTAATTTGCAATTAGTTTTAATGCGAATTCTTTGAATTCGATTCATCTTCAAAATAACAAAGAAATAAACATTTAGAAAACTGTTTTAACGTTTACGGCTGAAATTAATCTGAATAGAGAAAATTTGAAAATATTTTCAGTTGCAAAATAAACTCAATATATTGAACTTTACAAAAATTGTAATAACCTAACCATATAATACGTACTAAGCAAATCAATACACACACATATTTAAAAAAAAATATATAAAAAATAATAAATTAAAAGGCGGAAAAGTAAAGAGATGAAGTTTCCTTATCTTCATGGGATATTAAATTGGTTTAGACACAACTTTTCACGGAATATTTACATCCTAGTGCGAACTGCACTATACGACTACCTTTAGATGATGGCATATTGCAGGAGTGTCTCAGAGCGATATCTCGCTTTCGTTTACCGATTTTTAGGAATCAGAAAAATATATGTAATGATATTGGACTCTTGAGCTTGTGAGAAAAGGCTTATTATAAGTCTCGATTACCAACAATAATAGAAAGCAGATTACGTTAAAAGCGGACGTAAAGGAAAGTCAAAGCTTGAAGCTATTGGTGGACGGCGAACATCAGAAAATTAAAATCCTGCCGTAGACGAATGAATATTCTTGTAATGCATAGCTCAACAAGTTTGTGTTCAGCTCATGAGCATGAAGAACGCAAAAAATATATTGGATTGTAAGGACCCAAAGCTGTCCATTGTTTTGGCTTCACAGGTTCTCCGTCTCTGGTGGGGAAGAGAGGGCGCTAGTTTAAGTTAGAGAGTAGGTTAGCATAGGAATAGATTAAGAATAGAATAAGTATAGGGTACGGATAGACTAAGAATAGGATAAGAATAGATTAAGTATGGAATAAGAATAGGATAGGAATAGAATAAGAACAAAGTGAGGATATAGAATAAGAATAGGTTACGACTAGAGTTGAGTAAAATAAGTTAAAATAATTTAGAGTTAGTCTTGGTTTAGAGTCGTTGAGAATTAGTCGTGATTTAGAGTCTTAGTATGATAATCTTGGTTGGAAGAATTATAAATTAAAGAGTGAATAATAAAGGTCCCTGTAAATATAAATTTTCTTGTGTTTTCCTGGGCCGCTGAACTGCCCCGGCCACTGAGAATGGGCCGCAAAGCCCTCACAATATATATATATATATATTTTATGTTAAGGGAAAGATCTTTAAATTCTCTAAAGCATTTTCCTTTTTTTTTTTTATTTGTGCCAGTTTGGCAGAATGTTAAGGAAATATTGATGTGAAAATTTAAAATATTTGTTGAATTCAAATTCATAACATACTCATATACATACATATATATATGGAAAGAAAAAACCGCTAGTCTCTATCTACATTCCTCCACTTACGTTATGTCTTATGCGTCCGTATGTCTTGGTTGTTGGGTGTGGTTGCTATGCTTTTCTTTATATTATTTCTAGCCAATTATTTAGCTACATTGTAATTCTGTATAAACTATAACTTATATAAAAAGTTACTCGGGCTTTGAAAACTTAAAACTTCTAGCTCCCAAAATTACACAACAAAAATGCACAACTAAAGGATGTTGCATGTGGTAGAGTCTGTGGTAAACATTATGCCGTCGTCTTCAAATACGACATATTGGATATTGAAAGTTCCTACAGGCACATTCAGAACGAACGCTCAGAACTGCATTTTCGACCTTTTTTTAATTTTATTGTTTGATTCGAAGAAATCCATTGATCAAAATTAACGCCAGCATCAAATATATTAATTCAACTTTTTGTTATAATCTACGCCACTTGTAGTACAAGGATATATTAAGTTTTTGCGGATGTATGGCCCACAGAGAAGAACTTGAGATCAACTTAACTTTTATTATGCCGAAGCTGATATGTGCGTTTATCGCTCGTGTTATCTTATGTTCAACCTACAGGCCGTAATCTTTAAGGTATTTTGACGACATTTAGTACACTAACCTGTTTTGGCCAAAAAACCAATTCTATTGAATATAGTTCCAATCGGCTCATTTTTTCGATCACTTCCCATATAACATATATTTTTGAAAAACTATACCACGTGGTGCAGGGTATTTAATGATGGATCTTGACTCATTCTAGTGTTTTTACTTGTTTAAAAACAATTACGTTTTCATTAATTTAACTAAGCAAGATACGATATGAAAACTACATGTAAAACGAGTCTCTCGATTTAATGCAGTGCGAGTTATTGTGTATATCGTGGATTCCACGCAGATCAAGTGTCTCACGAATACGCTAATAAACGTATCAACTAAGCTTTTTTCCCTCGTTCCTTACGTTTGCACTGTAACGATAATTTGAACGTTAAACTGAGAAGAAATTGAGGGTAAGGTGTCAGTGTTTCCCTTGGATAATACAATCGTCATTGCAACATATTCGTATTTCGATTCTTATTAAAGGATATGAAGTTTTGACAAAAATCTCAATTACCCGATTTCGTAAGCCGATATTTTACTTAAAGTTTGGCTTAAAGAATCTGCAAAATCCTACAATATTTAACAGAACCGCGAACGCGAACCGGAAATGAACAATAGAATTCCACCTGTCGTGGGAAAGTTTACGTTTGTGACATTCAACGGTTCGTTGAGGGGGTAAACAACGTAACTAACGATTTCCATGGACAGTTGTGGTTAACCCATTTTTTCCAAACCGAAAAGTAACGAGTAATGAGTAACAAAGTTGTTGTCTAATTAGCAAAAGGCGAAAAAGAATTGATGATGATCAAAACCAATTTGGAAGAGCATGGCGACGAGTAGGATAAATTATGAAATTACCTGCTAACTATCGATAAGGTTTTCATCTTTGAAAACTTAGCTCCCGACTGGTGGTTATAATGGATAATTGGTAAATATTTTTTTTTTAATCGAGACAAACTATGGATTTCGTTTTCTTCTCAGACATTTATTTTGTTCTCTTAATTTAACAGTTGATTGCGAGGTATTCAACCTTTTTGTTACACCCTTTATTAATTGGCGTGGATTTCAATTCCCTTTAAAAGGTTGTCATCAAAGTCGAAAGGACATCCCATCTCTTAACGTCATATCTCCAGAACGGAATTCTACAAAACCGAATTATTAGTCCTTCACCGTATGCGTATGCACTGCATATTTTTTCAACTGTTACCTTAGCGTTATTGCCTTGTTTAAATTCCCAACACAATATATCTAATATATGCACTTTTTGAATCTCCAGTTGACAGAAGACCAATTGGATCCTCATCTATATAGTGGAAACACAAACTCGTTCGTTCGGCGACTTATGGTGAGCAAATGCAAACAATAGATTCTATCTAACTGCATTGGAAATTATTTATGACTCGACCTAATAGTTTGTATGTTAAGAAAATCACGAAATTGAGTTCATTTAGTCCCTGCGCATGCAATCGTTTGCAACATTCTATAAAATACAAATCGGAAATCGCATATAGTATACATTTGCTTAAATCCTACAGATCAAGCTTAGAAATGACAATGATCCACATTGAATCACCTCTTCAATAAATAAACATCTATAATCCCTTGCAACTATTCATCTAAAAGTTAATACAAATACTTCAAAAAAGTCATCTTTAAAGATGAATGTGAAAATTGCTCTAGTCACACAACCTGGAAACAAGCCCACATTCACAATCATCAAAATGCTTTACAATTTTTATATTTCAGTTTTCGTATCACATATTTGTTTCATAGTCTGTGTTCATATATATTCGCTTCATATATTTTCGTAAGATCGATCCGCAGCGATATGAATTTATATGATAGACGGCCCCTTGGCCGCGAATCGAACATACCTGATCTGAAGCTCATGTACTAAACAAGGCGATGGAATTTTAATGATTAATGAAAGCTTTTTTACGAAATGAATCAAAACTAAGTGAAGAGAAACTGTGTCATTGTTTATTGAATGAATTCCTCTAAAATTATGTTACGTCCGCGTTCTTACTCATCGCACATGCACACATTGTGCACTGTAGAAATGAACTTAGAAAAGCTATGCATACATAAACTTTTAAATTGAAAACAATGAGATAAACACAAGTCGGTTTAGTTTAATCTTGGAAGCAAACTCAAAGGTACAACAACAAGCGAAGGTGAAAAGTAAAAAAATCTCCTATAGTGAAAGTGTACAAAAATTAAGGAAAATTCCAAAATATTTGCCAAAACAAGCGAAATGGTTTATACGGTAAATAGAAATTTTCTTTTAGTTACTAATAAAATTTGGGAGACAAGTAAATTTTGAAAATAATATTTAAGGAAATGAACAATTAATATTAATTAAAATATTGCATTTATAGCACCATTAGTGCAATGAAATGATATCTACTGCGCCTTTTTTTTTTTTTTTTTTTTTTTTTTTTTTTTTTTTTTATGTATTTTTATATATGATATATCTATGCATAGTTATGCGTTTGTTTGTGTGTTGGAATTAATTTGTATCTAGTTTTTTATAATGAGTCATCTTATCTCTTATTATATCTGTTTGTATGTGCATTAACTGGTATTGATGTATTGCTTTTTTGGGGAACAGCCCATACCCACCGTTGTACCCGTTAGTCCGTTTGATGCGGCTGCGGATAGCCAGACTTTACGTGCTGCTATGAAAGGCTTTGGCACCAATGAGGAGGAAATTATAAATATTCTTACTACGCGTTCTAACGCCCAGCGCCAACAAATTAAATCCAAGTATGAGACAGAATTCGGTCGGGATTTAATAGATGACTTGAAAAGCGAATTGGGTGGAAAGTTTGAAGATGTCATTATAGGTTTAATGACTCCGCTCGTTGAGTATCTTTGCCAGCATTTGCATGACGCCATGGCTGGTATGGGTACCGATGAAGATACCTTAACCGAAATTCTATGCACAAAATCCAACGAGGAAATGCATGCAATTGTCAAAGCTTATGAAAATAAATATGGCCGTCCTCTGGCGGAGCAAATGTGTAGTGAAACTTCAGGCCATTATCGACGCTTATTAACTTTAATTGTAACTGGTGTTCGAGATGCCGCAGGTACAGTTGATCCAGGAAGAGCCAAAGAAGCGGCTGCCGAATTGTACGCTGCTGGCGAAGCTAAATTAGGCACCGACGAAGAAGTCTTTAATCGTATTATGGCTCACTCCAGTTTTGATCAATTGAGTTTGGTTTTCGAGGAATATAAAGAATTGTCCGGCCAAACCATAGAGCAGGCCATTAAACATGAAATGGATGACGAATTGCATGATGCTATGATGGCTTTAGGTAGGAATTTTATTATCTTCTTAATTGTAAATTTCTCCTATAATTTTATATACCGTCGCCAGTTGAATGCGTGCAATCTCCAGCTGCCTATTTTGCTAATCGATTATATAAAGCTATGGATGGTATGGGCACTGATGACACCACACTAATTCGTATTGTAGTATCGCGATCGGAAATTGATTTGGGCTCCATAAAAGATGAATTTGAACGAATTTACAATCGCACTTTAAGCAGCGCTATAACGGTAATTATATAACATACATTATGTTTTAAGATAACTTTAGAGAGTAACCAAAACCAAAATCTATTCTTCAAATGTCGATTTAAATGAATTAAAAAAGTTATAGGTTTCTTAGAGAAAATCTTGAACATGCATCTGTCTCACTCTAAATCATTTTGTTAGCTAAACTCCAATGATAATAGAAAAATTCCAAGACATTGCCTAAAACATCAATCAAGCAATAATCTTAAAATCATATCGATCACTTGAACCTTCGGACAGTCTAAAAATATTAACTTGACATTTCACCTAACATATTAAGCATTAATGTATCAAATGTTAAGGTATATCAATCTCAAGTGGAGCTAATAGCTTGGCCCGTGAAAATAAGTGAACTTGTCTAAAAGACATAAAAAAAATTTATTCTGTTAATAGGAAAAAAAAAAAAATATTATTATCAACGCCTTTCACTGTCGAATTTGCAGTGCCTAAAATTCTCGTCGCGTTGAAGGAAAAATAAAAGAAACCATTGATAATATTTTAGGGAAAATCGAATAAGGAGTCGACATATGAACACATAACTGTCATAACTTTCCGGAAACAGTTTTACAGGTGGCTAGAAAAATAGGCACAACCCTTGAGTGTTAATGATCTCATGTTTCAGAAAAATTCTATTACTTTGGATTTTGCTCTTGAAGTATTATTGATATCCGATGACGAGAAACCAATAACATTAGCAAGGGAAGCATTCCAAGTGCAACTAAAAACAAAAAATGGTAGGAGAAGGATAAAAGACAGGCTGTAAATAATTCAGGAGGCCTATCTTACTACATTTCTCAAAGATCTGTACATATATGTTATCTATTTTGTCAACTCTTTTATATGATATCGTTTTGATTATTACATACAACATTATCTTTTTGTTAGACGGAAACGGATGGTGACTACAAATGTGCCTTAATTGCACTTTTAAACGGAGCTTAATATGAAAGGCGGCCTCGATAGTTTGATCTTAGCGTTAACAATTTTTTTAATTAAACACCATTTTAATTTGTAAATAAATGGAGTATGATTTCAAATAAAATAAAAAAAAATAAATAAAAAAACTAGTATCCAGATTTTAATATTAATAACTTTCAAACTAACTGACTAATAAAAATTATAAGTCAATATATATTTTAAAAAATATTCTAATGAAATATTTTTATATCTTTCCTATGACACAAACTATTAAAATGGTGTTCCTTTCATCTTATATAGGATGTAAGTATTGAAAATTAAAGTTTAGAAAATCATCATTAATCATTTACATACTTTTATATATATATATATATATATATGAATACAATTAAAAATATTTCATATAATTAAGTCATTTGCATTCTAATGCATACCTACAGGGATATATATGAAAAAAAAATTTTTGTTGTATTTTTTTTTTTTTTAGTCTGAAACATCGGGGGATTACAAACGTGCCTTAATTGCTCTCTTGGGCGGCGTTTAAATGAAAAATCTTCGAAAGCAAGCAATCGTTGTCGGCAACTAGAATGAGAACATTCCATATTTTCGAGCATTTGTATTTGTTTTACATTAATAAATCTTAAAGTGGAAGTAAAATTCAACATAAGAATATTGTAATTTCATTTTCATAATTGTAAATTTTGCGAAAACAAAACCAAATAATAGCGACGCTCAAGCAACTTATAAGCACAAATTAAAGGTTAACTAAGAATAGTAGCTTAGGCTGACTACAAGTGAAGTTAGTTCATTCAAAGGTAAATTCTTATAGAAACTGTTTAGTATTCATCGTTCTGTTGCTAGGCTAGCGAGCTAGGGCACATAATTTCATTTATTAAGGACTTTGGCGTGCATCGTTATAGATTCTAACATTTTCTTCGAAATGACCATGCCGTGCAATAAACCATTGATATCGTCCTTACACTTGTCCTGAAAGGGACTTTAATGCTTCTTCCGTTTGCACAACTTCCACATACACTTTCCTCGTACAGCCTTCACACTATATAGAACTTGTAGTACATGGCATGTCAAGTATGAATGTAGGCAGCACGCAGAACTACGTTAAATATATATTTTTTTTTAATTATACCATTTAAAACTAAACAAGTGAAAATAGCATTTAAACATTTTCGCTTTTATATGGCATGAAGGGCTAATTATACACACTTCATGATGAGAATTAATCTAGAGTAATGGTCTACATTTCCGAATATTTTTCATATAAGAATTATTATGGAAAAAAAGTAGTCTCAATTATATGGCAACAAAATCTAATTTTTGATATTTCATGACTTATATGATAGTGTTGATTATTTAATAGTCGTGCTCGTCCGACTATAAGATATTGACTTATTTTTAAACACATTAACTCTTATTTTGTGCACCCATTAAAAACATTTCGTTTTTAATATCATTTTATTTACTTGATATTGGTCTTTATTTGATTATTTATTTGAAAAAGAGCTTATAAGCCATCTGTTCTTTAATCGGCATATACTGTTCTATTTCGTTCGGTAATGTAAACAATGGAGGAGGAACCTAGAAGAATGTAATACATTAGATTATATTATTTTTGCGTTTAAAAAAAGATAAAATAAGCACCTTTTTCAATTCATCATAGGTTGCTTCACGTTTTGTGTACTCCTTAAATACATAATCATTTTCAATTTCATAATGAAATCTAGTGTCGTGCATTTTCAGCAGCACGTTATCTACACGAAGAAAGTGTCTTAAGAGAATAAAAAACCCCGACGGCATAACACGCTATTTAAATTTAAAAAAAAAAAAAAAAAAAATGAAGGCTTAATCTCGTTGACAAACAAATATAATAAGGAAATGTTCTTACTATTTTTACAGAACATGATGAAATGCCGTTATCGTGAAGCTCATCTTCAAACAACGTTAAGTCATGATAAAAAAGTATTTTCTCACGTTGCATTAGTTTAAATTTGTTTAATTTTTGCTCACATTTCTCGATACGAAACATTTTATTTACCGTACCTTGATATTCGGTAGTAAATGTCCAATCGAAAGGTTTAAATTTTTCTTCCACTAGCGTTTCTGGCCTGCGAATTGATAATAAATGCAATTGGCGCCAATTTGCAAGAAATTCTAAAAGAAATGAAAAGACAACGTACCTGCTCTCCTTCCACTCTTGTGCGCAGGCTACTTGAAGAGGTTGCTTGCCATTTTCAACTGAACGCAATGCGTCCATCGGTAAAAATTCCAATACAGCACCATTGGGATGTTGCAAGGTTAATTTGTTCTTACGAAACACCATGTCTGGCAAGTGGGGTAATTCCAAGGCATGACGATAGGTGCATAATTCGCAAAATTCATCATTGTCTTCTTTACATTTGTCATCTTGACCTTTTTGGCATATACTCTTCAGTATATGCGACTTCTCATAAGAAATTTTCCAATTATGAAACTCAACAGACTCCTTGTCTACGGGCAGTCTTGGCACAAGTTCTTCCTTAATCATAAAATTAATTGTTAGACGATTGAAAAACATACTTCTTCATAGCTCTATTCTTTCTTTACTTGCCTCCATTTAGTAAAATTAGAACAATTATAAAATTCTGCTGTTTTCAAATTATTTTCCTTTTAGAATATTTTGTTTATTAAAAACAGTGTTTTCAGTTTTCTCAATAATACCTGACTTCTGCTTTTTTCGTAGGAATCAATATTTGCCGAAACCTTACCTCAATTTTATTTACCTTTCTCAAATGCCGAAAATTGTTGTAACAGAATGTTAAAATCAAGCGCAACAAATTCATTAAACCGCTTAATAACCCCTACGGCCCTACGGGCATACATATCGAAATTACCATTTTCAAACGGTTTCTCAACAAAAATTGACACAAAGCGTTAGAATCCTTCCCAATGTTCATATTTTAGATCATACTTTACGAGAGCGAAATGTTATTTTTACGCTCTATGTGGATATCAACTGGAAGAAAAATGAAACTCATGATGATAATCTTTTGGATATTTCAAAACTTATTCGATTGAAATATTCAATATAGCAATAGCAATATAGACTTAGATATTGTGATTTTTGAATATCATTCGCATGCAAGTGAAGATCCATCCTATATAAAGTTGAAACATATCTGGGGATAGTGGCTATGGTTTCTCGTTAACAATGTCGTACTACTAACTACTATGTTGCGAATGTTTAAATTGCGAGACACTACAAGTTCTTGATTTCTTAGAATGGTTAGATCTATCAAAATAACAATGCATTTTTTACACAAAACCCAATTCGTTGCAAGTTTAAATTCGCATCTATACACTCAAGCCTTTTACAAAGAATATTGCTGCTTCCTTAAGCCCTAGCCGAATGCTCGCCTTACTTATATATATATATATATATACGAAGAGGAACAAAAAAAACTATTAACTATAAAAACAGAAACGTACATAAATTCCTAGCAAAAGAAACCATAAAAATTTCACGAAAGTGGAATTTGGTAACTCTGTCCACACCTAAGAATTGTTTACAGTATTTTTTTTACTTGTTATTGAAATTAGTTACAATTATAGGAGGCTTGGCCAATTCATTGTTTTTTGCTGAAAACAGTATTTACTATTAAAAATATAAATGAAGTCATATTACATTAATACAACTTAAAATGAATTGTGTCCTCTGTTGTTCCATGTGCACATTATACAAAAATTTATATGATGATCACGGCGAATGTAATGGTATTTATGATATGACGGTCAAATACTTTGATCCTATGGTAATATTTTACTTATAATATCGGCCATGAATCATTTTGTACAAATGTTACAACTTCTTTTACTTGGGACAGTTATTAATTCCCGCGTCCAGTAATTTGACAGAGAAAAAATCTAAAATTATTTGTAATGAGTGTTGGCATCATATCGCTACATTCCACGAATTTCAACAAATAATACTCAAAGCTCAGCTGATTAATGAACAAACTAAACGGAAAATTAACACTAAAACAGATACAGATGCTAATGATTCAGAAAAAGACATTAAATCATCCAATGTTGATGAACACGTTGTCGCAGTAAATAGACATACGTCGGAGGATGAAGAAGAAAAGGACTTTGTTCAATATGAAAGTCATGGGACTGATTATCTAAGTGGAGACGATGACGATAAACCATTAGCACACTTTATTGACCATAAGAATAAAAAATCGAGGAGATGGTCGTTAAGACTTAAGGCTAGAGATGATCCAAATTTGGAAACGAAATCATCCCGCTGTAGCAAGCAGCAGATTAAATCTACTGTAAATGAAGCCAAAGAAATTGTGCATTTTCAAAATTCATGCAGCAGGACAAAACACAACTTAAATAAAACAAAATCAAAATCTCTAAAAGATCCATCGAAGGTTGCTTATAATAGCGTAGAGAAAACACGAGAACTAGACGCTTTTATTGCTCAATATAGACAAGAATTAGAATGCGATATTTGCAACATGGTTTTATCAAATTTTGATTCCTTAAGAGCACATTTCAGTTCAGAGCATAAGACAAGGTGCTATGTTAAATGTTGTGGTAGAAAAATGTTTCGACGTTACGTATTCGCTGAACACTTGCGCTTACACATTAATCCCGATTTGTTCAAGTGTGACTTATGTGGGAGGGCGAGTAAAAGCAAACATAATTTAATTTTGCATAAACATCTAGTTCATAATGAATCCAAACAACAATATGAATGTGAAATTTGTCATCGTATGTTTAATCAAAAGCCAACATTAACACGCCACATGGCCGTGCATGCTACCGGCACTAAAGATTATGTATGTAACGAATGTGGCAAGGGTTATGTGCTAGAAATACAGTTACAATCTCACATGAGAACAGTTCACAATGTAGATCGCATTTGCGATCAATGTGGGAAAATTCTTCATGGAGCTAGTGCGCTCAGACGACATTTACGAGAACATGCCGGTATTAAGAAACCCAAGTGGCCTTGTGATCAATGTGGGACCGAATTGATGTCACATAACGGACTTAAACGCCATAAATTGGCTTTTCACCATGACGGCAGTACAGCGTATGTGTGTAAAGATTGTGGCAAAGTGGCGGCTAGTGCAAACGCATTATTGTTGCATAAAAAAAACGTTCATGAAGCTCCTCGAAAATTCAAATGTACATATTGCGACAAAGCATTCAAAAAGAACAAAGTGCTACAAGAGCATATAGCAACGCATACTGGTCAAGATTTATATGAATGTCCTCACTGCCCGCAAACATTTAAAGTGAGCGCGAATATGCATCATCATCGAAAAAAGGCTCATCCCATTGAATGGGCCGAGGCCAGACAGAATCGTTTGCAATTACCTAAAGTGAATCTAAATACAGTGACGAGGGAAGTTGTTATGTGAGAAAGGTTAGTTCACCATATGTATTAAATAATAAGTAGCAGGCAATTTTTTTACACAGTATGCGATAACTTTTAATATTAATTTAGAATTTAATCAAATCCGTGCACGATAGGTACCCTATTTCCTTTAAAAAAAATTGTTTTAATATCACGAAAATGACAAGTAACTCGCCTGTGAGCGAGAACAAATTTCTCTCTACACCAAATAGAAAACAAACGATCTCTAGTTCATAAATGACTGGTAAAGGCATCGGTTGTCATACGAGTGAATTCCTTCCCATTATATTGACAAGTTTTAAAGATGCTAATATATGAAAGAAGGCCGTAACAACATTGATATATACAGTTAGTACGTAGTGTGTTGTAAGATTGATTTAGAGATGCTAAAGTAGCTATCGTGGTGGGGAGTTGGGCCTTGCCAATGTGATTCTGTGGGTAATTTCCAATCTTTTAAAATCATTATACATTCAATATATCTAATATGGCTTCTAATTTTGTAATTTAGTATTCCTAGTTGAGACTGGACATATGCGAGTTGACTAACGCATCTCGGGTTATACGACGACGACAAAATCTAATTTGTAGGTTTTTATAACCGAAACGGTTAAGAAATAATAAAATCTTTGACGAGCAAATTAAGTTTATTGAATTTGGATCACGTTAGTTTTTTAGTTTTTATTTTACGAGAAAAATTGTTAATTTTGTATCAAGTATACTTGCCTCAAGAATCGATTTTGCTTATTTTTGATCTTGCAGAGATATAGTGACAAAACGAAATTTCACCTTCTGTTTTTTTTTTTCTATGGAATAAATTTGAAATCGTATTTGTGATTTTAACAGGCAATAGAATGAATGACAAAAACTTGACTGAATTGTGTTAAGATATTCACGCTCATCAGTAGCAGATGCACCTATGAGATATTTTGGGACGTAACATAAATGTGGACATTCTGTTATACCTCATGTGTATATACTTCAGAACACGTAAATAGTACAGTTTTATGTATATAGTAATGGTCACTACATAATCATAGCAATAAGCGTAGTGCGTACATATTTCATTCATTCTATTTTCACATATCGTGCTGACTTATACTTAAAAATTCATTTAATTAATACAATCTGATGATTTTATTATGTAATAAGTTATACATTTAAAAGATATTTTATTGTTTTTTGTTATTTATTTTTTTCCTTCTCTCTAATTTTATTTGTATTCAAATTTTGTATACATCTGTAAATTGAAAGTTTGTTGGTGCGTAGGGTGCAAATGAAAGCAACTTACTGCAAAGTATTGTATATTCAAATATTTTCAAATTTAAACTCCATTTTTAAGGATGCTAATTAAAAAATAAAAAATGTAAAAAATAGAATTTAAAGGCTTTTGTTTATTATTATTAGCTAATATTTTCCCGCGGCTCCGTTAACATTGTGAAAAAATTCTTCAAAATTTTTCGAAAAAAAGCAAAAAAAAGGAAAATATCAAAAATTATGTTTTCCTGTTATCTTATACTTCCGAAAAAAAAACGTATGAAGTCCAAAACCTTTACAGTACGTCATTATTTTCAGCTAGAAATTGGAAATTTCTTTCTTTATAGGCTTAAAGGTTTTATAAGCGCACTTGCATCCGCAATCATGAAGATGATTGTGTTCATCATTTTCCCAATCTCTCAAATTTCATCAAATATCTTGACTACTGCGTTCTGCACAAAAATATACGAACATTAAACGAGTTTTACAAAATTTCAACTACGTCGATTCACGCTTTTAGCCCCCTTCCCATGCAAAGGTTCTCATAGAGAGTAAGCCTTTAAATGAAAGTAAAATTAAATTTTTAACATTTTATGGAGAATATAAGTCAAAAATTTTGTTAGACAAAGTCGTGTAGGTTATATGATAGTCGGCCTTGCCCCCAAAAGTTTTATAGAGTACATTAATTTTTTGCAGATGTATGTAGTATGCAGCAAAACTTACGATAGGTCCAGCTTTTATTATACCGTTCGATTCAGAATCATTTTATGAATTGATTTGGCTTGTTATCCTGAACGATGTCTGTACATGTCTTTTTCAATGTGCAAAAAATGTAAATTAGAAAATTGTCTTAGATGAAGTGGACCATGATATTTAATTGCCGACATTGCTGGGGGGAAGTACAATTTTTTTACTTATTTTCAAAATCAGGTAGAAATACTAAACGCATAAAATTAAACAGTTTACTTTTAAAATGTACCCAAAATTGCGTCCCTGTTTTTGTTTGGTTGCATGTAATTGATAGTCCATTCCGTTTCGGTTTGTTTTCTTCACGTAATTACTTTAGCAAATTCAGGGAAATTCTTTAAGGCATCATATATGCCCTGATAAAAGATTTCATCTGTGTTTTTATATTATTTATAATATTTAAAATAAAAATGTTAGTGTGCAGACTATGCCTTACAAAGGCTAATGATTTTAAACATCTGTGTGATGAGAAAGGGCAGGATAGCGAAATATACCATATTACAGTCAAATATTTTGATCCCATGGTAAACTGATTAATTAATCCAATTTCTTGTGGTCATATTTTTCCTTCTCGGTTTTGTTTACTTTTTTTCTTCAGTGGTTTAGTTTTAAAGATAATGTAGAATCAAAAGTTATATGCAATAAGTGCTGGCAGCATATAAATGAATTTCATTGCTTTCAAGAGAACGTGATGAAGGCACAAAGGCAATTGGAAGAGAATTCAAAAAACTTAAGGCTATTAATAGAGATGAATAATGGAAATGATTTAGAATCAGTTAAAGGAGTACACGGCGACAATCAAATTGAATGTTTGAATTATTCGAAGGCTTACAAATCTGAAAGTTATCAGACATCTGAGGATGACGGACAAAGTAATTCGGAATTACAAAAAATCATTAAATTACCTAGAAGAAGTAAACGTTTAAAAAATGCCACGGATGAAGGGCCAAACGTTAAACAAAAATATAACACTGCAAAAAGTAGCTGCTCTTCAGGTGAAAAAATTTGCAAAAATCTCCAAACAAATCAAAGGAGGAAAAAACCAATTAATTTAAATAATGATGTTTGCAATAATAATTTTCTTAGTTCCAGGGAGAAAAAGAACATCAACAAGTCTTCAAATAAATGTCAAGAAAATCATTTGAAGAAAACGTTAGAGTACGATGCTTTTATTTCCGAATGGAAACGTGATTTGGATTGTGTAATTTGTAATACCTCACTTCCTAATTTCACTATTTTGCGTACACATTTCCGTCAGGAGCATCCCGATCAAAAATGTTATGTTGTCTGTTGCAAACATAAACTATACGATCGTTTCCAGTTAGTGGAACATATTCGTTTACATATTGATCCCAATACGTTTAAATGCGAAGTATGCGGAAAATGTGCTACAAACAGTCGAAATTTGAAAAAACATATGCGCGAAATGCACTCAGATGACAAAAATGAAAGACAGTTTGAATGCAATGTGTGTAGTAAACGTTTTGCCAGGAAAGCTATACTAAAAGCGCATATGGATATCCATGCTACTGGTAATAAAGATCATTTATGTAAGGTATGCGGTAAAGGATTTGTGTTGTTGTCACGACTCAGAATTCATGAACGGTCCGTGCATGATGCCATTCGCGTATGCGACCAATGTGGTAAAAAAATAGCAGGAAAGTATGCTTTAAAACAACATCTGCTCGAACATTCCGGTATTATTAAACCAACATGGTCATGCGATCAATGCGATGCCAAACTAAATTCTCATTATAGCCTGAAGCGCCATAAAGAAATTAAGCATAACGATGGTTCGACCTTATACATCTGCAGTGAATGTGGTAAATGTTCAACATCAGTGCATGCATTGCGCAATCATAAAAAAAACGTTCACCAAACAATACGAAAATATAAATGTAATATTTGTGATAAAGCATTTAAAATAGCTCTTACATTGAGAGAGCATATGGCATCTCACACAGGTGAAGAACTGTATAAATGCCCACATTGTCCGAAAACATTTAAAGTTAGTTCCAATATGCATCATCATCGTAAAAAATTTCATCCTTTGGAATGGGCTCAGGGTAGAAAACAGCGAAATCAAAGAAGCGATGTTGACAGCAGCTTAATTTCTAACGAAGTTGTCTTGTAATATTATGTGCGTCGTATACGCTATGGACATCAAAACAAATCATTAAAGTATTGGATCTTGCATAAAAATTCCTTTGAAAATAGCTTAGGAAAACTTTGCTATTGGCTTTATTAACCATTGAAATATGACGCTTTCTAACTATTTTTCGATCGATTTTTATTGCGAGAAGATACACTTGAAAGGAGTTCAAAAAAGGATTATAAAGAATATTTCTGAATTGTTTTTCTACGGATAGACAACTTAATATGAGGCGAAGACAGACAATGTTAATAATGTGAATTAGGTAATTGCAGTTTATTAGCCTTATTTCGAAAACGGCTGAGAAGTCATTTACTACGCCTTCTGTAGCTAACTAACTATAAGCAGCCATAGCGTTTTCGCTTCCCAGACGGACGCGGTGTCGCCTCTATACTTATTGTTAGTATCTGGGTAAGAGGATTCAATTTATTAATTCCTTTAAACTGATCGCCAATATATATCTGCTACATTTTCAAAATTTATTTGCTCACTTGCCATTTAGTTTTCACCCTTGCAAAAGTTCACCGTCTTTTTACCAAATTGCTTCATTTTTTAAGAAATCGAGTAAGAACATTTGCCAAGCTTCAAAATTTTATCTCAGTTCTCACGACTGTGTAAGATTTATTAATAGATTAACATGGAAATATGTGTTACTTCTACGTACTAAAAAGGGACTCAAAACTTATGTACGCTCGTGTTTTATTGATGGGTGTAAAGACCATAATCGTTAAGAATAGATTAAGTATTTATTTATTAGCAAAACATACTATCAGCATATAAATCCATCTATATATAATCATAAGAATACTTATGTATATAAAAAAAAAAAAAAATTAAATTTAATAAATTCTTTTACAAAATTACTTCATTTGAAACTAAATTAACATCGATTTTGCTAGTTTGTGGTTTATTGCGTCTCGCTTCAGCCCATTCGATAGGATGGGCTTTTTTCCGATGGTGATGCATATTTGAGCTGACTTTAAATGTTTTAGAGCAATGGGGACACTGATACAGATCTTGGCCCGTATGAGCCGCCATATGCTCCTTCAATACAAGTGCAACTTTAAAGGCTTTATCACATATACTACATTTATACTTACGCTCCGCTTGATGCACGTACTTTTTATGACTAAGCAGAGCAGGTTCGGATGGTGCAATTTTTCCACATTCATTACACACATACACCGTTGTGCCGTCATGGTGAACGGCCTGTTTATGTCTTTTTAGACTGGAATGTGAATTCAACTGAGCTTCACATTGATCACATGGATATTTACGTCTCATTATCCCAGCGTGCTCCAATAAATGCTGTTTTAAAGCATATTTACCATGAATCGTCTTTCCACATTGATCGCAAACGCAATCAACGTTATGAACTGTACGTTCATGTATTCTAAGTCGGGATGCGAGAACAAACCCCTTACCACATTCTTTGCAAACGTGATCTTTGCTGCCAGTAGCATGTATATCCATATGACCTTTAAGTATAGCTTTTTTGGCAAAACGTTTGTGGCATATATTGCATTCAAATCGTCTTTCCTGTCCTTCTTCAGTATGTTTTTCTCGCATATGTTTTTTTACGCTTCGACTTTGTGTAAAACACTTGCCACATAATTCACACTTAAAAATACTTGGATCGATGTGCAAACGTATATGCTCAACCATTTGACGGCGGAAATATAACTTACGTTGACAGCATAAGACGTAACATTTTTGCTTTGGATGCATTTCTTTAAAATGTACACGTAATAAGCTTAGATCTAAAAAGGTATCACTGCATTCAGGACAATCCAAGTTTCGTTTCCATTCAGCAATAAATGCATCATACCGTTGAGATTTCTTTAAACGCTTTTCTTGCTCTTCGTTTGAAACCAAACGATTATCATCGCTGTCATAATTCGAAGAAGCATTATCAACATTATGCATTACTTCATGTAGATCTAAAATTTCTTTATCGATAAAATCAGTTTGATTTTCTGCTTTTGTAGTTTTTTTTTCTACATTTATTAAACCGTTCGAATTACCCTTCTTATTGATTCTAGTTTTTTCAGGTGTTTTAATTTTCTTCACACTTCTGGAACTTTTACAAATTTTTGCCACCGCCTTGGCCGATTTTTGTTTGGTTGCAGTTTTATCGATTTTAAATTTTCTTTTTGGCCTTAAATTAGTGCGTAATAATAAAGGTTTTTCATCATCAGTGCTAATGGTTCCAAGCACTTTCACGTGATTGGAATTATCAACATCAACAGCAAGCAACTCATTCTCCATTATATCATTGAAGGGCAAACTGTATTCATTATTCGGATGAGTTTCTTGACTTAGTAAAATTTCATTTTCAAGCTTAACTAAAGGCTTCAGCTCATCCTCCAGTTTCGTTTGAATCACCAACACCGAACGTTGAAACTCATAGAATTCACTAATATGATGCCAACAATTATCACATATAACTTTACAATCCTGTACAGAGGTCGAGCTTAATAGCTGGCATATTTAAAATAATAATATAAACAACACTGGAAACAAATTATAAATTGTAAGGACAATCGACTTACCATCATAGGATCAAAATATTTGACAGTAATATGGTATATTTCGCTATCCTCTCCATTTTCATCACACAGATGCTTAAAATCATTGGTCTTTGTAAGGCATAATCTGCAGATTAACATTTTTACTTTGGATTTTATAAACAATTGATACAAAAACCATTAAAATGTTTGCCAGGATATCCTTCACAACATAAAAACGCCGAAAAAATCTTTTATCAGGGCATATGTGATGCCTTAAAAAATTTCCATGAAATTCCTGAAGTAATTACATGAAGAAAACAAACCGAAACGAAACGGACTATCAATTCCGTGCAACCAAATAAAAACCAGTACACAATTTTTGTACATTTTAAAAGCAAACTGTTCAATTTTCATTCGTTTAGTATTTCTACCTCAACTTAAATGATGGCTTCTTTGATCTCGTTGAGCCAAAAAACGATGTTCATCTTGGGGAATTAACATGCTTTATTGGAAAAGCGAATTTATCTTTTCAACTTACGATAACTTTCTACTATTCCTTATCGTAATTTTTGAAAATTTTATCTCTAATTTGCAACCTTAATTTTAGATAACTATACCTACCTTTATAATGATTCGTTTTTTTTAATCTGGACATATAAGCCATAGTTCCCATTGGCTTAGTCCACTTGATATTAAAAAGATAGTGAACATTCCCTATATAAGTGATCATATTAAAGAAAAAAAAACAACTGAATTTTCATAGTTTTATTACTAACCAATCTTACTAATTTAAAATTCAAAAGTGTCGAACGAAACATTATGAGGAATTGTTAAAATCATTTAATCCTTCATTTACTTTGTTTTATCTGAATGCCTCACCAAATTCTCAGAAAATTTTCAACAACAAGACCACGACACTGGACATAACTTCTAATGTCAATAAAAGATCCAACTAATCAAAACGGCCTCTACACAATGTAAACCAAAATTCAGCCAATCAATACTTTTTTGAAGGTAATCTTTTAATGCTCGGTGCTCTGTTCACAGAGATTTCGATATTCATCTCTGGTTTGTGTACCCAATTCGCAGGACAACGTTTTAGGTATACTTTTTATTTTCTTATCGATCATTATTTTCTATAAGATCCTCATTTGATTTGCAAAAATGTATGCGCTTATTAGAAATCCGATGCTTTTTTTGTTATCTTATAAAATTCAACGAAGAGTGATAACGTCAAAATTGCGAGATAAAAATATTATCTTATTCTTCAATAGAAAGAATAACAATAAGTGTACATGAGCATGAAACAGTGCCTGTTAATAGAAAAAATTTGAAATGAATGCATTGTAGAAAATATATATGTGCACAATTCATTTTAGCTCACATTTACTTTTTTGGTCGCAATCTATACTTTTTGGTTGCACACTATACTTTTTTGGTCGCAATCAAGAATTCAGGCTAAATATTTTGCAGATTATTTTCAACAAAAAAAAAAAAAAAATTAATTTACAGCATACGGCACTCGTAATACTCGATGCATTTTTCTGTAAGTTGAAGGAAATTGGAATTCTCGAAACCGTTAATTCACTTCCTTGTTTTCTATTATCGATGACGGAATCCAAAAATTCCTTCCGAAATCAATTTTCGTCCAAGAGCAACAAAAAACTACGTACTGCCGCGACTTCATTAAAAAAAAAAAAATTTAACGAAACCTGAGCAAATAATATTTTTAAGTCAAAGATTTCACTGTGGGGTTGTTAACTATCAGATCGACTTTTTTAACAATTTGCTTATTTATTTTTAATAATAATGATATTAGATAAAACAGTTTTTTACTATTTCAACAAATTTTTCCATTTACGATACTTTCCATCAACGCGAAAATTGAAATGCGAAAAAACTAATTTATAAATGCTAACGCTAAGGAAAAACAAATTAATGTTTGATTTTTTTAAAAAAAGTTTAGCCCGTTTTTCTGGGGCCTTTCATATGTTGAACACATAACTCCCCTACACCCTGCCCTCCCTTTTTCCTTTCATCCGTTTGATATCTTTTCATGGAAAGTTGATGCTCAGCTTTTGAAACATTTTGATGTAATTTAGCATTCTGGCTTGCGTTGAAAAGTAGATTGGATCGAACTATATTTATAATCGCCTTTCAAATATGAATTTTGATACTATAGACGGTAATATCGAGATTAACCTGAGTCGATGTGGTCCATGACTTACGACATGAGGAAGGAAAATGTGTTGAAAGCAAGAAAAAAAAGGTAAACAATGATGAATGGAATGAAATTGGACGTACACTAAAGCGCATGCGTGTATAATCGAAAATAGATAGATAATCCAATAGCGTACTTATATATATAGTAGACATAGCAGATATTAAATGCATACATGTACAGTAGAATATAAGTCTAAGCAATGGAAAGCATGGAAGAATGTTCAATATATTACCTGCATTAGTGTATACGATATATTGCCAATGGAATGTGAGTATTTTAATGCACATTTATATACAATCCACGGTAGTTAACATATATATATTTATAATCTAATTACGCACTCTAACAACCCCTCGAGTACTCGAATTACAAGTTTCATATCAATTGGCTTGGCGAAAATGTCCACCAATTGCAGGTGGTATAAGATCAAGTTGAATGTTGTCAGAAGATATATTGTCAGTATTTACATTTAAATCTTCCAGCAAAACTTTTGACCAAAGTGAGTCAATGATGACCATGTGTTCGACTTTATAATCCAGTTGGAAAGTATACTCCCCCTATCGATCCAACACCTTCATTATTAAAAAAAATAACTACTAATCATGTTTATTATTTTATTTCTATGTATGAAAATATTAATTTCTAACATAAAAACTACGTAACTTTAATTATCTGTTGCGGACCGAATGATGTCAGAGTCGCCGGGATCTGTGATAGACATGGTACATACACGAAAGTATTTGCCGCATGCAGTACCTAATTCGATATTTGTACCAATATAGTGTTGCACCTCAGTTTTGGCCAACATGGCGTAATATTCAATTTCCGATTTTCTGTAAAGAATTCAAAAAAGAAGAACAAACATTTAAAATGAAAATTTCGAGGTAAAAGTAAAACAATCAGGGTACACTTGTGTAAGTATATCAGAAAGAGTCTCTAGTAAAATAATTATCAACATGATTTTCGATATTCTGAGATCGTTCATTCATCACAATGAGAACGTGGAGCAAAATAGTAATTTAGTTATCTCCACCTAGAGTTCTAAATAGTTTTATAAAAAAAGTGCACGAACAAGAATATATCATATATTGGTGTTAGCGCTTTCCAAACCTGTTTTATTTATAAAAACTACAAATTAAACAAAAATCTATTGTGGAGTGTATCGAACTAACAATAAATCAGACTCACGTTTTAAACAGCATTGCTAAACAGGAACCATCTGGCAGTCTTGATGTACACCGGGCAAACGCTTTTCTATAGCTATTATCATATTCTTAAGTCATACTATTTATCGTACTTTCTCTTGGAAAACATACTTCTCAGTCTTACAAGACTCCATATGGTTTCCGTTTCGCAGCAATATCACAAAGAGGATTTTCTATGAAAATACTTTTCTCACCTCAACGCTGGTGTATTACTGGCGATCAACACTAATTTAGCTTTGCCTTGACGCAAAGTTTTTAATGTTTGCTTATAACCCAGACAATATTTGCCTGATTTCATAACCAAAGCCAAGCGAGCATTGGTCGATTCCAGGGCTTTTTTCTGCAAAATAAAACACCATAATCATTAAGGTTAAGTTCAAAATATATACTGAACACGTGTAAACGAACCTGTTTTTTAACGGCGACCATAATTGTTGATTATTGTATGACTGCTTGTTCGCGAATGCTAATATTATAAAAATATAAAAATTTATTTTTTATTTGCAAATATTCAGCATCGAATGCAGTCTTCCAAAAAAAAAAAAAAATGAACTTACCTCCTCTGCGGACAATAAAAAAAAGAACGAAAGTATGATAGGAAATGGTCAGGCTTAGCACAGCTAACTCTCTTGCGTCTTGCGTAGGGATTCAATTACGTTAATAGGAATAAAAGATGATAGTTGCCACCCTTAAACATATACGTAGACACTACATATACGGTAAAAACAAAGGTATAAGTTATCAATTTATTTTAAGAAAAAAAAGAAAAATGGCGGCATTAATGTAGTGCATGAACTAATCTAAATATTCTCGATTGTCTATTAATTTGAGCATAATTTTCACGTATTAGAAATCATAACATGCTAATAATTTACTGAAGTTGATTTAAATCATCAAATCATTCCACTTGAAAGCGTTAAAGCGCACTACTTTTGCATTGCTTTCTGTAAGTTCAACTTTTATTCTCGGGTTTGAAAACAAAGGCCATCTCATTAGTTTTACAGTCACATTGCATTTTGAAGCCTTACGAATGTAATCACGTCGAAACTTTTTTTGGTTATAACACTTTTGTTTTTAATTTATCCATTTATTTAATAGATTACAAAGATTTTTCTTTATTACTCACCCATTTGATTAGATTCAATCGTTGAACCCATTGGTCGGCCCATTCGAACAATTTTTTAGAGCATTGTTTTGTAAAATTTCTATTTTTCATAACAACTCTGCTTTAGTACAAAATTGGTGTATAGTTTTTCTGTGACTTGTGCTCTGGAATATCAATTTTGATACAGTCAAAAAAACTTTAGAAACAAAATATAGTCATGAATTCCTACGAGCCCTTACCTGTCATAACGTTAAAGTACGATTGCAAATGGGTTTAATTTCCTTCTATAAAAAAATGATATTCATTTACATATAAACATATACTGAATATTATTGGATTCAGTACTATCTAAACTGAAGGCAGAAGAGCATGAGATATTGATTTTCTGTCAGTGTACCATGATGATGTTGAATGTTCTAAAGAGATATTTAGACATAAGAAAATATGGCTATTGCCGTTTAGATGTTTCTACTGCTGTTGGAAAATGCCAGGATATGATTAACTATTTCAACACAGATTCTGGTATACTTATATTTTTACTATCTACTACGGCAGATGGCGTGGGTATCAAGTGAACGGCCGCCGATAAGTGCATTATGCATGATATAGACTTTAATCCATATAACTATAAGAAATCAGAAAATCGTTGCTATCGTGTAGGGCAAACAGAGCCAGTTATAATAAACTGTCTCATATCAGGAAGCACCACTTGGGAAGGTATGCTTTTGGTCGCCGAGAAAAAGTTGAAACTTGAAACTTGCAATTTTTCTTCGCCTTTTTTTATAAATAATCAGAATGCATGAAATCAACCCCAGGAGGTTGCGGCATTTGTATGTACGGTTTTTAGTTTTGATAGTTCTTTACACATAAACATATTTGTTTACAGCAAATTAAATTTAAACACAAACATACGAATTCCTATGCGACGAAAAAAACGCTAAACTTCGACATTTCATTATATGACGGAAATGCGATTTCTTCGCTGCTTCAAATGAAAAACAGAAATGCCCGAAAAGCCCTTTAATGTAAACGTCATATAAGGCTATAGGTAGGTGAAAAATTTATTGTAAAACAATTTAAACCCAAATCAAGTAATTTTTCTATAGAATTACTTCATTTGAAACTAAATTAACATCAACTTTGTTTGTTTGTTGTTTATTTTGTCTTGCTTCAGCCCATTCTATTGGATGGGATTTCTTTCGATGATGATGCATATTTGAACTTACTTTAAATGTTTTTGGACAATATGGACATTGATATAGGTCTTCACCTGTATGTGCAGCCATATGCTCTTTTAACACAATTGCTACCTTGAAGGCTTTATCGCATATGCTGCATTTGTACTTACGCTCCGCTTGATGAACATATTTTTTGTGGCAGCGTAATGCTTGAGCGGATGGTGCAATTTTTCCACAATCCTTGCACACGTATACCGTTGTACCATCGTGATGTATGGCTTCTTTATGCCTTTTTAAAGCGTAATGAGAATTTAATTGGGCTTCGCATTGATCACAAGTCCATTTACGTTTCGTAACGCCAGCGTGTTCTAATAAATGCCGTTTAAGTGCGTACTTTCCCCGCACCGTTTTCCCACATTGATCACATACGCACGCTATGTTATGAACAGAACGTTCGTGAGCTTTAAGGCGTGTTTCTAGTACAAAACCTTTACCGCATTCCTTGCAAATGTGATCTTTACTGCCTGTAACATGAATTTCCATATGTGCTTTAAGAATAGGTTTTTTGGTGAAACGCTTTTGACAAACATTACATTCATACTGACGCTCCTGTCCTTCTTTCGTATGCCTTTCTCTTATGTGTTTCCTTAAACCTCGACTATGCGGTGCACATTTTCCGCAAACTTCACATTTGAAAATATCGGGTTTAATGTGTACTCGTATATGTTCCACTAGTTGATAACGATGAAAGAACTTGCGCTGGCAACATAGTACGTAACATTTGTGATTTGGATGCTCTTGTCTGAAATGAGAACGCAGTAAAGCTAAAGTTGCAAATTCAGCATTACATACGACGCAGCTTAAGTCTTGTTTCCATTCCGAAATAAAAGCATCATAATCTTGCGATCTATTGAAATGTGTCTGTTGCCCATCGGTTGAAGCAGCTCTGTTATCCTCACTATCATAATTTGAGGATGTGTTCTCGATGGTATTGGGCATTTCATTTGATGTCTGAAAGCTTAAATCCATGTCCATTTTACTTTTGTTAGCCATGTCAATGTTGTCGTTTGGGTTCGTTACATTTTCAGTATTATCTTGCTTGTTATAATAATTTTCATTTAGTGTTCCAATTGTTCCAATTGTCCTTTTACTTTTTCTCACTGCCTCAGTACGTTGTTGCCGTGCTTTTGAAGGGGTTTTTTTACAAATTTTCTTTTTAGCATTGCACTTTTTAATACTCTCAGATTTGATCTTAGTTTTACGTCTTGCGCGTGTTATCAAAGGTTTTTCGTCATCAGAATTAGTGGGCTGAGTTTTTTCAATATCATTCAAGATATCATCCCCTCGTATATTAAGGAATTCACCGTCCAGTACATCGTTCAACGAGAGCTCACACTCATTTTTCGGGAGAAGCTCTTGATCCAATAAGATTTCGTCCTCAAGCTTAATCAGAGGTATCAAATGCTTGGATTCAGTTTCCAATTTATTTTGAATTGTTAATACCGAACGTTGAAAGTCATAAAATTCGCTGATATGCCGCCAGCACTCACCACATATAACTCTGCTGTCCTGCTCTATATTCGAGCTCAATAACTGGCGTAATAAAAAAACGATATTGTTTGCATTAGGCAAAACTATTATGAGAAAACTAGCTTACCATTGGATCAAAATATTTAACTGTAATATCATAAACTTCTGTGCCTTGTCCATGTTCATCGTATAAGTTCCTGCATTCTTCGCAACTTCCTGCACATAGTTGGCATGTAGACATTTTTATAAATAAATTTCCCTACTTTTATTAAGATTTAATTCTTTCATCAATTCCTTGAAAATAATAATTCATAAATAAAGCAAATAGTAACAATCTTCTGTGTTGTTTAATTGAATGATTTTCTTTGGGCATTCACGCGTAAATGGTAGCCCAGTTTAAAGACAAATTGAAATTTCGGTGTAATTGGTTTATGCTCTATATTTTTAAAAACATGTTTTTGCATAGAGTTACAAGAAGAGGAATTTGCCAAAAAACAACGGCTACTTGCCATGAAACTTTATCAAAATCTCTGAATGTTGCATACCAAAAAAGCAAATATCGGTTTTATAGGCTTTTTCGAAAATATCGCTTATCTAAGCGAAATAACTTGTTGATGTGGATTTTTGGGCGACTCCCTGCTTTCCTATGTTTTGACTAGACATCTAAGAGTGTTAGTGCTTTGTGTTTTGTTTTTACAAAGTAAAGCAGCAAGCGATGCACGCGAGAATAAAATCAAATGGGTTATTATCACAGAGACTTTTTTCATCCAAAAGCCATCCAAAAATGTATAATCAGACGGACTAGATGAAATGCGATTGTGGAGGTAAAAAGTAATTAATCTTTGGGCGCCGAGTCAAATTAGTTTATTGAGCAACGAACAAGCAAGGTACAAGTTCGCACGTTCTTAGTTACACCGTGTGAACGTGGATAAAACATATAAAAATGAACATTATTCGCAAATAAAATCAACATTTATGATTTTGGTATAATCAGCAAACCACAAAGATAAGTACCTGCGCGCAAGGTTCAAAGACTGCGATAGTGAATAGTGCGAAACGCATCTCATAGATAATCATGCGTCTGCTCCTTTAAAACTAATATACTTTTTGTGCAGATTCAATGAAAGCGCTAGAAAACTTTACGTAAGAAAAATTTTATTAAATTCGATAGTTTTATTTGAAAAATTCGGTTTTATTAGACTAAATATATTATAAAGATAATAGGATTGCCTCCAAAATTTCGTTTCTGTTTATTTTATAAAAAAAATGGAATCTTAGGAACTGATATTTCGTGATAACGTTTACTCATTAATCTTGCTCGATATATATATATTTATATATATATATTTGTATTTATATATATATGGGTTGTGAGGGAGATAATCTCTTTACGGTCGATACAATGTTCTTAAAGTCATTAAATATTATTTGGCGTGCTTTGCCTGCATTTTATTGCAACTTACTTTCATTCTTAGATATTAAGTGTCTATTTTTTATCATGTACACATATATGCATAATACACACATATGTACAATACCTCACATTGGAAAAACTAATCCAATAATTTTCGTCAATAAGGTCACATTGTGAAAATTGTTGTCATGTTGCTGTGTATTCAGATTAAGTGTGAGTGAATTCCTTTCGCATTTACTCAATTTTCTACGACACCTTTAATGTAAAAATGCAGCTACCATTGTATTTTTTTTGTATCTAAAGCCAATAGCAAGTCTTTCAAACTGGGATATGCATGGGTACCTTGAGCTCTTTCCAAATCAATTTTATTGCGAGTTACTAATAAACTGGACCAACCAGCATTACGTGCGCCTATATAATCCAGGTCATACGTGTTGCCAATATGCAGAGCTTCATCTGCCTTAACTCCATATTTTTCGAGAGGTATGTCATATATGCTCTTATCTGGTTTTTGGTAACCAGCCTCGTAAGAGGTCAACACAAAATCAAACTTATCTAAAATTTCCATTTCTTTTAAAACTTTATGAAGGCTTGGATCGGAATTGGATATGACGCCAACATGTTTATTCGCTTGCCGGACACGTGAAAGTAACTCTTGATTACCATCTATGTGAATCCAGCACGCATTGGTACGGTAGATTCTTATCAAGGTTCCAGAAATTTGCTTCAATTTTTTCTCATCAATATTAGGTTTTACACAACGGAAAATCCTCTCAACCAATTGCGCCCACCAATCGTACCATGAAAGTTGGGAGTGACGACCATAATTTGGGTACAATTTTGCCATTGTTTTAAACTCATCTTTAAAGCATTGTTCTAACAATGGCTGATCAATGTCCGTCACACCCAATTCGGTAGCTGTCTTCGCATATTGTATTGCAGGCGCTTGTCGAAAACGCAAAAGTGTTTCTGTAATATCGAATGTAACTAAACGGAATTTTCTCAAATTTTGTAAAAACGTTGAATTGCCGATCATTATTTATCACCGATTATTGTTAACGGATTATAATATACATGGTCCGAATAGTAACTAAACGTGACCGCTAAATTTTTCTAATGATTAGACTTCTGTATATATGTATGCAAAAAAATGGAGTCGCAAATTTAAAAAATTCACAATGTTATCAGCAAATCGATAGTGAATGCATCGTCAAATAAGGAGAAGAAGCAGACACAGAAAATATTTGTTCTCTTTATTTATAAATGATAATTAAAATTTTGTAACTAATTGATTGATTAATTGATAACATTTCATCAAATATGCTTGTTGAGAAAACTACGCAAGTCGTCAACAACTCTGTATAATATTTTTTCTTATTGAAGCATTTTATTATTTTAGCGCAGTCAGATATCAACGTAACGTTTCGCGTCGTATTTCGTGCTCTTTGAAATTGTGGTTAGTTATGGCATAGATGATTTCTTATAATGTCTCTTATTGGGTATTTTATGGCTTAAAATACATTTGCATTGTGCATTATACTAAACAGGCATAGTTATTATTGCAATAAATAGCTGCATTATTGCAATAAAATTGTAAGGTTTGAAAAACTGACCATATGATTAGATTTTGTTTATATATATATTAATAAAAGAACAAACGTCTCTGAAAACGAAATTTTTTTTGAGCAAAACATGATTTTAATTACTTTTCGTAAGCTAACAATAATTGATATTATAGTATTTAGAATTAATTGTAATCAGTAATATTTAATTTCATGTGACGTTCGAAATATTAGATATATGATATTCATTGTTTCCTGGGTTTACCGTAAAGGTTAATGCTTTGTTTGTCAATGCAAATGCGTGCAGAAAAATTAAAGTTTCCAATATACTTTCTTTGCTGCAGCAATGCAATGTGAACTATATGTATGACCTATGCGAACACATATCATAAAGTCATATTTCGGCGTTGGCGTGCATGGTGCAAATTCATTCATTCTGGTCAGCGTTTTATTGTTGCGCACAGCTGATTATCTGTTTGAAATAATCGTAATTTACTCGTTCAATGTAAAGTTTTTAGAAGCTTCTTGAACTAAATAGATTATTTAAAAATAGCAAGGCATACGTTGCAATGTGTTAATTAATAAAAAAAAATATTAAAATTATAATAGTAAATAAATAAGTATTTTTTGAAAACAGTGCAAGTGGAAGATTCTCAGCAGTCAATATTTCGTTTTTTTCTAGAAAGTACTTTGATTAACATTATATTAGTTTGTGCAAAACGTTTACGCGGGATGGTGTTGATGGCTATATATCGGGCAACACTCACCTGATTCTCTCAAACGAACATGTGTCTAACAGATGACAAAACAATTTCTCAAGTGCACTGTGAGAGTGATGGAAGTGAATGAAGGACTCAGGAATAGTTTGCTCGATCCCGTTTCGGAAATTTCGATGCCAAAGATACATCTCGCTCTGGCCGACAAGTCGAAATTTTCCAACTGGTGGAGCAGGACCGGCACGTAAACTTTCAGGAAATAGCGGGGGGCATTTAACATCAACCACATGACAGTTTGGAATCATTTGAAAGGGGCAGCCTACAAAAAGAAGCTTAAATTTATCAAAACAAACAAACCGCGGGGACTTTTTACTTGACCTAATACATTAAAAAATACTTCTGCTGTACCGTGTACCTGCAATGTTGTTCATCTAGATTACATTATTTGTTTTTATTTTTTCTTGCATTTTTAGTTTCAACTTAGTCTATTGTTGATATACATTTCCCGTAATTTCAATTGCAAAAATGGCTGATAGCGCTGAAATAATACCTGCCAAGAAAATTAAAGCAGACGAGAAGGAATATCGCGCAGATACGAATTCAGAAGATTCAATGCAGGCGTTAGATACGGAAGAAAATTCTACAAACACTAATTCTGAAGTAGCTACGACAAGTAATTTGTCAACATTTTCGTCGACTGCACAAACACGACCAAAATTAGCATTCAAAAATCCAAAGTTTAGCTATATAGAGCCAGGAGGAAAAAAATTTGTATGGAAATCTTTAAAGCAAATCATAGCCCAAGAAAAATCTTTGCCTTCGTCGGAGGATATAGTAACGTGTAAGTTTTTATGATTGCCATTATAAAATATCTTGTTTTATAATCCGCTTTTAATCGTAGATACTTCATTAAATGCCCCTCCATCTTTGAAACCGCCAAAAAAATATTCTGATATCTCTGGACTTATAGCACCTTATATGGATCCTCAAACTAAATTATACTACCATAATGCTGAAGAGTTTCGTATTATAAGATCCTTACCATCTGATATCATCCAAGGTTATTTAGCTTTAAGAGGTGCCACAAACGTTGTGGGCTAAGAACATATATATATACTCTCCCATCAATTTTGTTTAGTGTACCCCTTGAATATCGGCAACTTTAATGATTAATAAAACTTTCTCGATTTCCTTTTCACCAAGTGATAGAACTTAATGTGAAAAAAAACAAGAAAAAAAAAATATGTTTTTGTCTTTTGCTACTGAATAAGAAATACTTTTCATTCATGTTAAACATTTCCTATTATTTGGCGGAGAGGCGAACCATAAAACTCAATTGCGATGAGAAAAGGACAAAGTTCATGTAGTAAAACACAAGAATAAACGATCAATACTTATGCATGGGGCGATGAATACGTGCTAGCGAAAAGTTTCAGAATATCGAATAAAATTCATTGAATCAACCTAAGAAACCGCTTATGCAAAATTTTTTTATACCCATCGACTGTAGCATCTTTACAAAAACGCAGAAAGTTATCCTCGTCTTTTTAATTTTCCAACATCTTGGGCATAACAGTTATCACAGAAAGTAAGCCTTTATTTGTAAAGATGTCTAATTTTTACTATACAGTCCCATAATAGTAGCTTCCTATAAAAACAGGGTATAATTTTTGTGTTCTATGGCAAAAATAAAAATTGTGTTTGACAATGCGATGTTTAATAGTCGACATAGCCCATCTATAAAATTTGTTTTTAATTTTAATTTAATTAACAATCAATCTATTCTTTTCCGATTTCATAGACGTTAAGTATAACTTAGTCTCGTTGCTGCAATAATGACACACCTATACCTCATACTTATCATTATCATCATCAAGTCTACCTTTAGTTTGGTCCTAGTTAAGCTTTTCTTTAAATAAATAAAATTTAATTACAGATAAGACAAACTTATTTCTCTCTTTCGAGCATTATGAATTATCAGCTTGCTTCCACGATATTGAACCAGATATACTCTTGGTCAAAAAACTGAGTCCTTACAGGAATTTGTAGGAAAATTTTAAACAAGCTTGATAGTTATTTGATGCTCATATTTGCAAATTACTAAAATATATATTCTAAACCCTGGTCTCACAATTAACGATGTCCGGAGAGGAAATCTGTTAACTCACAGTTGTTAAATGAGGCAACTAAGAAGAAAAAGTAAAAAGCCTTAAGACCTTTTAGATTGTAAAAATGGTTTTGTTTGCCGTTCAGCTTTTTACATATGAAGAAAATCCTAACTTATTCGAACGAATTATAACAATTCTCGACATGCAGAATATACTTAAAAGCTCTTAAGGTAATGTTGAAATTTTGGTAGATATGGATTATATTGATGATTATCATCTGACCATTAATTTATCCGTTTGAATGGTTGTCAGCCGAAGGTCGGCGATTTAAATTTAATATTCCTCCTATTTCAATGGCAGTGAACTCGAATTAAAATTCCTTAAAATAACATTTTTTTCAATAATTACGCGTTCCCATCTCGCAAAAACAGTGGACAGGCCACCCTCTTATTGTTCAAAGAAAACACACAAATTTAGTTATCTAATTATCCATGTCATCCATATTGACGTTTTATATTACAAAATTTATATATATATACATATCTAAAATTATTAATAATTGTTGGTGAAAGGGTTAAATTATTTTATCATTTTGTATAAAAATGCTCTCGCAGGACTTTCTATAAAGTCCTACATCCTATTAAAATATGGTAATTAAAGCGAAAACTCCGTACAGTAGAGCACAAGGATAAGCGATAAGCACTTGTTGATGATCCATTGAATATGCAGTAACGAAAAGCTTTGAAGCCGATAGAGAGCACCATAATATGCATATGCCGGCAATTATCAGACCGATAGTACCTCTGCATAATAAAGAAAATTCGTACAAGTAATATTAACAGTTTATCTATACATACTGTATGGTAACAAGAACATTAATTCCAGATAAAACGACCATCGGGAGTAGACAGTACCCTAGTACGGATACCACTGCACCGAATGTTACGTTCGATTGTGGTGCCATTAATGTTAGCAAGCAATAAAAAGCGATGCAACCCATTACTCCAATACCATAAATGTAAGAGAATGTTACCTTGCCACTCTATGAACGCAAAAATATGTATATGTCTCTCTTTCTCTATTGTAACGATTAATTAGATAACATACCAGTAATAGAAAACTTCCCAATGCTAAGCAAAAGACCAACGGCCCAGCCATGTCTGTATCTTGCAATATTTGTTGATCAGCTCCTCTCATTGGATTTAACACTGCTAAAGTCTATCGATCAATTTAAGAATGTTAAATTCTTGCATATCTCTTGTGTACATAACATATATAGTAAATTACCTTTTGGAAAATATGACTTGGATTTATACCCAGTTCTGAAAAAATTCATATAATCAATCTTTCACTACTTAATCGATAAATTTTTTTCATATTTACCTTCCAACAAAGGCGGCTCGTCGTCAAACTCATTGCCTGCGCCTACATTCGTTGCTTGGTAAACATCGTTTTGACCATAAGGGTTATTGTTATACGCATTGGGATCGTAAAACGAACTCAATCCAGTGTTTGTATTGCCGTAATTGTAATCATAATTCGGTGGAACAGTTGGTTGATTATCAAAACTTTGGAAATTTCTGTTAAATAAAAGAATAAATAAATTCAGCACAGGTGCTCCATGGACATTTTGACAATGAGAACTTTACAATGTCTGATCGAAATCTGTCATATCGAAATTATATGACTTGTCGGTACGTTGAGCGTAAAATTCGTTGGAAGCAGCCATTTTCACAATATTTATTCGTATTTCATTTACTATTTTTCAATTGTTCGTTTCTCAATATGTTTATTATATTTTAATCAATCTTCTTTCAATCTGCCAGCCGGATGAAAGAATAGCTGCTAACACGTACAAGATCAGAGTTGCCTGAATTAATGCAAAACGTATACAGATCAAAAGGAAGAAACACGAGCACTGTTTTAGTAAATAGGTAGAAAATTATATGAAATACAGATAGATAGGTACTAGATTTTTCAATAAATGTTGAAAAAATAAAAACCAAAATTCATATACTAATCAAAAGAGAATATGCTTAAAATAAAAACTCTTATCACACTTTCATTTGACTTTTACTGCATGACCAAAGTTATTCAAATTAAAATTATTTCATCTAATCATGAAAATTATTAAATTTCTACATTTTTAAGCCAATGTACAAGAAGTTAGTGCAAATTTGATATGGTTGTATTATCCACAATATTTAACAGTAAATTACCACGATTTGCGCAATTTCAACAAAATTTTACCTAACGGTCAATACCGTAATCACGTAAGAAGAAGGTTCCCTTTCATTGTTGTATATTCAGACATTTTTGCTAACCGCTGAATACAAAAGCGAAAGCTAAATTGTTAATAGCTGATTATTGTTTTTCCCAAACAGTGAAAGCTAACTTTCACCCACGCGAATAACCTCTCGATATGAATGAAGAATAGTTTATTTCCAATTTAAAAGCTATTTAACTAAGTATAATTACAAATGACTAATTTTTGTTGTTGCTTTCGCATTAACCCGTTTACCATAAACTTACTTTCAGTTGTGTGACTATCCCTCCTTTCTGCTTTCAGCTATTTAGCAAAGAGAGCCAACACGTAAGCGAAAGTTAACTTTCAGTTACGTGATTGCCCTCACGGAACTAAAAAAGTCGTCTATGATTGTAAGGATATTTCGTGTGTCAACAAGTATCAATTATAGCTAACAATTCACAAACTTCATTAAGTTGACCTAATTTATGGCACGAACTGTTATCAATGATTGATAGTAATTAGACTTAATAGCGTTTGCATGTTAATATTAATTAATGTTCATAAAACTTTATTAATCGATTTTTTATTTTTCGAATATCTTACAATTCTTTTCATATTTATGCTTTCTGCAATTGTAAACATTTGTGTATCATTCACTAACGAACGGGTTAGTGCAGACAAATTTTACATTGGTGCAATAAAAGATCGACGAAAACGATTCTGATGCAAAATATTGCGTTCGCGTACAGAGTGTCGTAACCTATTCCGCGAATTGTTGCCATGGCTAACGTTAGTGCCATTCATGGCAGCAAGCATTTCGAAAGCAGCACGTTTGTGATCCTTTGTCCATATATTGCCAAGTTCAGCAGTCTCGCACTTTGATAGAATTTTCTCTTCGCTAATCGAAATTTCTCCCTTTGTATTGCTTCCATTTTTCAATAATTTTTTGTGTGTGTTAGCTGGTGGATTGGATTTTGGTATCAAATCGATGTTTTCCTTATTGCTGCGACTGAATCCCAAAATCGAAAGCAAAGATTTCCTGCGATGTTTTGGACAATTGGTGGTACTCGTGCTTTCGGAGGAACCTTCGCTGCCCTTGCTCGAGACGCTGGTTTGCATTTGTTGTCGTTTTTCGATTACGTTGTTTTCTATGTCATACCTTATAAAGTTTTTCGGAGATTGGAAAGTAACTTTACGCACACGCGTATTTGAAAAGTTTTTCGGTGCCGGTAAAGTGTTCATATCCAGTTTCGCCATAGTGGGCTCGTGCAGAAGTGTGACTTCGTTTGATTCTATGCTACAATATGTTTCATCATGTATAGCAGATTTTCTTGGTGGCAAAGGGGGAGGCATATCGGAGTGTGTTGCATTTTCTAATTGTAAAGAACACGTCTTGGCATTTAAGAAGGTATTGCTTGGCAAAGAAAGTTTTTCCATTTCTTTAATTAAAAACTTGCTTCTCTCTAACAAACTTTCTTCGAATTGAAGCAAACGGTACTCCTTCTCATTTAACTGCTTTTCACGTTCATCTAGGCTTTCTTCTTTCTGTCTCAACAACGATTCTTGAGCACGTATAGCATGTAGTCTAACTTTTAGAGCGTTCTCAAACACTTCTCTTGTTAAAAGTTCCGGGTTCGTTTTTAGAGTGCTATTATTTTTAAAGGAATCACAATGTTCCCGCCGAGTGTCAAACGTTTCACGCTTTATGGTTTCATAGAGTTCCGGATCGGAACGTTGGAACTTGGGAGCCATAGCATACATTTCACGATTAGTTGAACAAAAGATTTCAGCTCGTAAGTCTGGTGTAAGCATGCCAGTTATATTGAGCCCTTTAAGGTCGCTTTTTTCGTTTAAATTGTTTCGCTCACCAGTCAAGTTAACGCGGGACGAATCACGTATAGAATTAAAATCTAACTTTCTTTGCACTTCTAATTCATCGGTAGGCATATAAAAATCAATTTCATTGTTTGCAACTTCAATTAAACAAGGAAGACTATTTCCTAAATTATGAATATTACTCACTACGATGGGATGTCGCAGAATAATTTCAATACTGGGCCTTTGATCATTTTCTACTTCAAGCATAAATTTGATAATATTTTGTAAATTTTCAGAGTAAATACTTGGAATCTTATTATACTTTCCGACGGTGATATTTGTAGAGAGCTGAGCGAATTGTCGTCCTTTAAATGGTGGAGCTAAAGCACACATCTCATAGATAAGGCAACCTACTGCCCACACATCCGATTTACGGTCATATTTATTACCTTTAACAATCTCTGGACTCATATAGTACGGAGTACCAACGAATGTGTCAGCAAAGGATTCATTGCGACGTAACATACGAGCTAAACCAAAGTCTCCCAGTTTTGCGTTACCGTTTACATCCAGAAAAATGTTAGCAGGTTTGATATCGCGGTGTAGAATCGTTCCCTCTTTGATTTTATTATGGCATACCTGCAATGCTCGGCAGACCTGGTATAAAATACGCCAAATGTACGATTCTTCGAAACGTTTACGCTCGGTTCTGGCCTTGGCAATCCAATGGGCTAAATCTCCGCCTTCACAATATTCCATTACAATAAATAGCGATTTAGCTTCAGGGTTTATCAGATGATTGTAATATTGCACTATATTCGGATGTTGGAGCTGACGCAGTACCCGAATTTCTGAAATGAGTAACTCTCTTTGACAGTCACTAAACTCATCGTAATCTATACCCTTCCAGGCAAAAATATTGCCAGTTACTTTCTCACGCACTTTGAAACAAGTACCAAACGATCCATTGCCAATCACGGACACAACCTCATAATCTTTTAAAATTTTTGTAGATATGTTCAAGTTTTCATCTAAACCTTCAGCGGGTGATTCTAATGATTCATTTAATTCCATTATAGGGAAGCTTTCAAAATAAAAAGTGATTTACTTGTCCAACTGTAACAAATGCTACCGCTCATTACAAAATTTTAACGACAACTAATCCTATACATATTGGCATTAACTTGAATTGATGCCGCATAAACGGACAATAAATTGTTGGTTGCACTTATTTTAATCTCAGAAGCGCTTGCCTCTCAGTAGTTAAGGTGTTTGGGTTTTTGTTGTTTTCATTCATTTCATATTTTTAGCAGGTATTCAGTCCCTCGAAGGTAGACGGCAACCGGTTTTTCATTTTCAATACTTTCTCACTCTCTCGCTAAATATTGCAATCAGCGTTGGACAAAACGGAGTATGTCGGCAAACAATGAATGTTCTTTAGACATGTCAACCAACCGTGATTTTTCGTATAAATAATTAACAGTCTATTTATCGAAATTATTGCGTAATGTCTGGTTACATAGAAATTATTAGATGTAGCAAAATATACGGAATTTTCTCATTTAATTAATTAATTCCATTTAAATGAACCCAACCCTTTCAATGTTATCGGCTCTTTCTTCGGGAGCGAAAAAGTACATGATACGTGAATGCTTTAGCGCGTATTTTCATTTTACATCCTTTAAATTTCATATAGCTTTAACATAATAATAATTATTAGTTGAAAGATTTATTTCTTGAAGATCTGTATTGTCGTGGATGTTAAAGCATTCATTGTGTATCATATTAAATTCTGACAAAATTTATATAGTCAAATTTCATATACTACCACCAATTTAAAAAAAAATTGTCAACTAACTGAAATCTTTATTGTCTGTCAACGCATTAATTTAATATTATTATAATAATATACAAAGCCTAAACCTCACGTAGATCTGATAGTATTTAACCGGTAGTAGTAACCGGAAGTTTGAGGTAATGGAGAAATTTGTCACTTATTTGTAGCTGATTTTTAGTTTTAATCCGACGAGCGCGATCACATCAAATATGAATGATTTCCAAATTGCAATAACAGTTGAATCAATCGACCACGACATCTTCACAGATCAAGTATAATAAATTAAACGGTTCCGATACTAATTTCCATCCGCAATATAATTTCTTTACAAGGAGCAAACAATAAAATTGCCATGATGGGAGAAATATAATTTTTTAGCGTAATCCTATTATTCTTCATTTTAACGCTATAAAGGTTATGATTAATTCAAAAATGGATTTGATCGTAAAATCGGTTATTTCTCGTCAGCACTTCGCAAATCTTCTCACTGGGTTCATTAATAGATCATTAATAACTGTTTTAGTCAGCTTTGTTAACTAAATGTAAGCAAAGAGTTTTGGCCTCTATCGTAAAAGCATAAAAATTGAAATATGTTTAGCTAATGTTATCTTGTACAGCATAAATTCGATGTTAGTTGGTTATATCGCTTGCACGATTAGTTGCTCAGGAAATAAAAATTTGCCCCTCTGTTGTGAAAGTTGTACCTTAGTTGTAGATCTTTATGCCAAAATGTTTACATTATAATTATCTTAATTGTTTGGAAAAATTCGTAAGGAAAACAATACAAGCATAAATATAAATTTCACTTGCCATTCGTGACACTTTTGGTATTATATTTTTTGCTTGCTTTTTTACTAATTATATATAAATAAACATTATATCATCACGAATTTCACCATGATGGTGGTGCTTTTTTACCTTCAGCACGACCGTACAAAGCACTTTTATCCCTGAACATGGTCATGCGCTCAGTTTCTTTTTTATCTAAAAAGTGCCCAATTGCAAAACCAATGAGTGGCAATACACCCCATATATAACCTCTATCTAAGCCAAGCATCGTTTGAATTTATGTTTTTGCCTTTATTCTTTTAAGAGTTCTTGACTTCTGGCAAATTGCAGCTGTTGTCGTTTCCAAGCGCGTGTATGCGACCAATCAGCGTATATAGTGATCACCGTAAATGTGGGAAAGAATATCAGCGCTCCGTACTTTCTGGCCAAACGTCCGAAAGCACTACCGGCCATGAACTAGTCTGATAAAGCAAACAAAAAAGAATTACGTAATACTCAAATATGCGGAACTTTTTACGTGTAAGAATTTGATAAGGTACTTCACTATTCTTTTTTAGATATAAATTAGAAAATCAATATAAACCTTGCAAATTGTGTAATATTCCTTATTTAATGTATATAACACTCACTTCTCAAACTTTAATCATACAATAGACAAACTTTAGCATCCGGCAAGTTACCGACAATGTTTTACATAGAAACGAAACGAATTTTGACAACTAGTGTTTTATGGCCTTTTTAGAAATTTTGACGTTTTAAATATTTTGCAGCTAAATGAAATGTATATCAAAACAATAAGGTAACTGCATTAGAAAATAAAGATTTTATTTACATGTACATAAAAATATTAATAAAGTCAACATCCGTGAAGATCTACTCATTACTGTTAGCAAGAGTGAACTGTTGAAGGTGTATAAGTCTTCCGTGAGATTTAAAGGATTTTTTCTTTAAATTCTTACTTAATCTTTAGTTCCCATTCGAAACTTTGCCGCCAAATTTATAGTCCAGTTTGGAATTAAAAATGTTTCAATGCTGTTAAATGCTGTGTAAATTAAAGCCAGAAATAAATTTTTAAAACTTTGTTGAAAGTAATGATAGCTTTTGCAACGGTTCGTATTTACAACTGCAAGTATTTCATCAGGACTTTTTATTTTCATTGATCTGATAGATTTAAAATTTGTTAAAAGTAATTCTTTTAGTTCCATAGCACAAGTTGCAATAAAAATCTCTAATAACAACTTTGTGGTAAAAAAGGGCCGACAAAAAAGGTAGAATAACTTCAAGAAAGTATGTCTAAGAAAAGATACATGATACGTTCGTATCCCTTACTACAACTTGCTAATTACAATAAAGGAAAGAAGAAGAATTCGTTTCAAATTTTTAATAAAATTCATTTTTTTAATAAAAATTCATTATTTTATTTATATTTCACTAAAAATTTTTAAAAAATTATTCAAATTTAATCGTCTATTAAAAGCACATATTGTCATTAATACATCTCAAATGAAGAAGAAAGATATCTGGGTGCCCACTTGCACTTGCTATGCTTGCTTTGATTAGTAAGTATTGTAGATTTGAAAAATTTTAAATTTCGCGCACATACTCTTAACTAAGTATTATAATATGCATTATAATAGCATAATCAAAAATAGGAAATAAAAAAGCTTCTTAAAATTGAAGTAAATGGAAGAAAATTTAAAAAGTATGTTAATTTTTTTGGTTCGTTTACAAGAAGTTAAATTACACAATAATATTAGACAACTTTATGTAGCGAGAAGATCATTGCAATTCTTCTTCTGCTCCTACGAGTCAGCAATTCAACAACTGGTGATTTAGAACGTTGAGTAAAAAATGTGCAATGTGAATACGACGCTCTTTCTGTGAACGTTAATATTGCAATTCGTCTTTATAGCAATTTTTGTTTAAATAAGTGATAGCATTCACTGTCGTTTGATGAAATCGGGTTTTTTTATTTTTATTGTATGTATGCGCAATAAACACAAATCATTCTCTCTTAATCCATTAGCCATAAGAGAAATAGCTAATGTTTCGAACTGGACGTATGAAATAAATTTTGACGAAAAATTTAATTTCGAATTGAAAAAAAAGTTTTTCATACCTTAAAATAGTCTTAAGTTTCTCTATCAATGCTTACAATTCAGTTAATACAAACAATTGACAAAAAGTCGGATTATTATCTTAAGATGTTTCAACAAAGACAAAAAAGATCGATTTGTATATTAATTTAAATTATAACATAAGAAGAAGAGAGAAAAAAAAAAGAAACTTCAAATAAATATAAAAAGGGAAAAATTATAATAAAAAGGTAACATCTTAATTAGTAAAATAATTATAAAGGATAAAAAACAGTCTATGCTAATTAACATGTAAACATAAGCGATATGCGTGGTAAGATAGTTTTGTGCTATTTGATGGAATAGGAGGATCGAAATTTGCAGAAAAAGATCCTTATGAGACGGAAAAGACCTCTATGAGGTGATTCCAATCTAAGACGTTTCCTGAAAAGCCCATTTTTTATGTCAATGTACACATTTATGTACATCGTCAGGTACGTTTTATGAAGCAAGGAATTTTAGCGAGAGGACTTTATTCACACATCCAAAGAAAAAATTTATAATGAAAATCACCTAGACTTTTTCATTTATAATTTCCTGAAAATTTTGGCTAATCTTGGACCCATAATATATCTTTACTTTATGGCGTCAAAAGCATTAGTTTCCTTTATTACTTATGCAATTCATGTGTTATTTATTATAAAATTCTGTTTTATTCAGCACAGTGAATCATCCGTTGTTGCTTTGCTGAATTATAAAAAAAGAAGAAGATTTAAATTCAAACAAATTTAAATTTGCTTTTTGTTTATTGCTTTCTTCATTCAGACGAAATGCGAAGACAAAAGTCTTATAAGAGGCGCAAAAAAAAAAAAATACTTTTCGCTTTCGTTAGAGACGAAAATATGTAGTGAGCCTGAGGTTTAAGCAACTCTGCTTTAAAGCAAAAGATTTACAATGAATTTCTTTTCATAAGATTATTTAATAAGACCCAATTTTAACTAATGAATTTTTTTTTCGCACGTATTTATGAACTTCTAAAATGTATAACATAACAAAAATGATATAAATTAAGGACTATATACCATCTAATAATCCATGCCGTACATAAAATCTTTAAATTTAATTAATTTAATATTTTTAGTTATATATATCGTTTAGTAGTAGTACGTTAGAGTACATATACATAAAGTCTTAAAAATATCCATTCTATGAATAAAATGAATGTATAAAAAATGTTCATTGGAATTTAAAATGAAACTAAATTAAATCTCTTTGTTCTCTTATGTTTAGTTTCAGTGAATGTAAAACATAAGTAATAAAAATTTTTAAATACCAAATTCATATGAAGTAAATATGCGTGTGCGAGCGCCGATATAAAAGACTTTAAGAATTTAACCCTTTTTTTACTTTTGTTGTTTTTTCGCTATGCGTCGCATGGCCATTTGATTCATTTTGAACAAATATTTCATAATAATTTGGCCGACAAATTGCTCACAGAATAACCACGAGATCGTTCTAATAACGACTTGAATTAATGTATGTGGTAAATAACCGGTCGTTCGTTCACAAAAACCTAAAGTGTTTATAGCAGAAGTCACAAAGGTATCCGGCAATGGGTTGAAAACGGATGCTTGACGAATTTTACTCATCTTTGTAACAACAAAACCGGGTTGAATACTTTGCACAATTATGCCAGAGCTACGATATTCGGTTTGAAGATCAGCACTGAATTTATCCACAAATGCCTAAAAGTATACATTAAAAATATATATACATATATATTTGAATGCGTAAATAGTGTTAGTTGGCTATGTAAAATTTTTTTTTATTAATTTTATTTATATATACCTTAGTGGCCGAATAAATTGAAAGCATAGGATTTGGTATTGTAGCGGCGGTTGAAGACAGGTTTATAATAACGCCTTTCTTCCTTTCTATCATTTGAGGTAATACCAAGGCGGACATGTGTGTAACCGAATGCACGTTAGCCGCAACAATATCGCGCATAAATTTCGGTATCTGTGTTACAAGTTCAACAAAGAATTGCGGGTAAGAGTAACTAATACCGACGTTATTAACCAAAATGCCAATATTCAAGCCATCAATATTCTGTTTAATTTTATCATAGATTTCGGGACCATGAGTAAAGTCGACATCGATTATTTTGGTTTCAACACTAAATGCTTCACCTACGGAAGGGTTTAAATTTAGAATTACAGCTGAAGGCAAATTTGAACAGATTTTTAAATACTTACGGATTTCTTTGGCTACATCCTCTAGTTTAGTTAAAGTGCGGCTGATTAAAACTATATTTAATCCATGCTTAGCCAACTAAAGTTGTGACGAAGAGAAGAAAAACAGATAAAAGTATATATCATATATGTAAAGAGTTGTTATTATTATTATAATTTATTTAGCAAGAGAAATAAAATCGAAGACTAAAGTCTTGAAGTATTAGCATCTATGGCTTTGATATACACTTACGTATAACTATAAAATCGTATGCCCACGGCTATGAAATGGCAGATGTGCTTTTCTGTATTTAAAAAAACTTTTCCTTCAATTTTGACAAAATAATGGCCATTAAAAATGTCTTGGCATTAGCGGCGAAACTTGGCCCATTTCAAGGTTAATAACCTCCATTTTGCGGCAATCCGCTGACGGACAAATGAACATATTTAACACCTACCCAGAATTTGACACTGAGATCAAGTATAAATTTTGTAAGGTCTCGGAAGAGCGTTGCAAACGTTCTGACTAAATTTTATACACTATCTTTCGGTGCTGTATACAAGGAAAGTAGGTCGAAAGCGCAAATGACTTATGAAAGATTGCGAATTCCTGTCATGTCGATCTATGATGTCATGGTTCAAATCGATTCTAATCGATCTTTAGCGAACCCAGATACCAAGCACATGAAAACAAACTGAAATTATGATTGTAATGAATTCTGGTCACCTTTTGGCAACAGCAGAGACTGAATATAACCTTAACGTTTACATTTGAACGAAATCATAAATGAATATCTAATAATTTCAAATTCTCAGACATCCTATTTCCGTTGACGTAGTCTTCGCGATCGATGAAATAGTATTTGGTGAGCAAATCATACCGTCAGTCAGACTTTTTACCAAAAATGATATTTCAAATACTTCGCACTTGATAATAGAAGGACTTTGGAATAGGTTTTCTTGAAATTACTTCATTACATATTCGATTGGATTGCGAGATAGATATTCGAAATTCAAATGCAAATATGGTTTTTTTCCGTCTCTCCTTTACTAGTTAGCTCATTTATTTGCTAATTGTAAAGTGCACATAAACTTAATTATTCATTGATTTTCGTAGGAATTTGCATAAATTTTTAAAATACACACATTAATTTAAGCAATCGCAAAGTAAACACTTTGAAGAAAAACAAAAAAAATGCACCTTCAGCTAGAAAGCAAAGTCTTATAAAATAATATTTAAAAACGGTATAGTGTCACATGGCCTATCATTAAATACCCTACATCACTTTAGTTATTCATATAATGACTTTTCAAACAAAAACTTAATATTGGATGTGATCAAACAATGGTCTCAAGCCGGACCACTTTCAAACGGCCCTTTCCTTTTTTGGAACAAATAATGTGCGTATTCTAAATTTCCTAAAATGTCTCGAAAATTATAACATTTAGGTTGAACACAAAAGAGAAAGACGGACAGACGGACAAGCTTATAAAACAAATTTTCTATCTTAATTTTTTTCGGCGCGTTACATACGTCCGCAAAAAACTTAATATATCCTTGTATCACAAGGATTAGGCGGGAATGCCTAATTAATTCTTTCAGTTGTTACACTCGGATATAGATCGTTGGCTTTATAATATCGAATTTAGTTTCCCTCTTTCTTTATATCTATGCTACTGTCTCCCATTTAACATTCAGAATTATTAATTACGGAGAAGCCATCAAGCATATATACTCTTAGTCATCTCACGTCCCTCCGCCTATCGATTTTGCCGTTTGCGTTCCCGTCTAAGGTTCTAGAGAACTCATAGATCAATATTCTTAATTCGTGTAGGATTTTCACTGGATGTAATCGATATCTATTTCTCTATCACTTCTTACAAACTTGAACTTATTGCTAATCAAAGGATCATAGAGCTGTATATGTGACCAGTGCAAGTGTAAGATTTTATCAAACACTTATTATAGTAGGAAGAAGTAATACGTCCACTGTCTTTAGAAGGAGTAGAGGTAGAGAGAGAGAGAGAGAGAGAGAGAGAGAGAGAGAGAGAGAGAAAGAACATAAGAAATATTTCTACTATTCAGGCTAATGAACTAATTCGTACATTGTCGATATCAATTTTTTTTTTATTTTATTTGTTTTTTATTGGTTTTTATTTATTTATTTATTTTTCATTTTTGAATCTCTTGAACAAATAGTAAGTAAATGCAAGTCATTTTTTAACGCATACGCATACGCATAGTAACGCGCGTTCGAATGGCGAATGAAGTAATTAATTAATTTTTATTCCGCTCGGTCATATATCATATTTTAAACATATTTTAACTTCTTTAGTAAATAACATAATGACATAGAAGGGAATTCACGTAGGCAATATTAGCTTTTGGGGATATATTTATTCACTTTGCCATCATGTTTGCAACATCAAAAGAAAGTTTCAAATACGGTATAAAGTCTCTATATACATTTGTGATCAGGGGAAAATTTTGAATTGACTAAGGCATTCTCCTGGTCGTTTAGTAGAAGCATTGGTAATTTTTGGTATTGAAAATGGGCCAAATTGATTAGAGTATAAGGCCGCGGTAAGACGTAAACTGAACACAACTCGATTTTTCTAAGCAAGCAGTTGTGCACTTGCACTCATTACTCACAAATTTTGTAACACATAAGGTTCAAGTAATCCACATTTACTTAACGGAAAGACTTACTATTTATGTGCATAATTGTAAAAATGTCCACCATGCCTCCCGTATAATGATATAAGTGAGTCAATTTTAATTTTTTTTTTTTTTTTTTAATTTTTCATAGTTTTATGCTTTTTTGTCATAAGCTAAACGAAACGTAATGCATTCTTCAAGCGAAGACATACGATCTGCCTAAAAAGGGGTTTCATTCTAAAATAAATATGATGGACACAACGACGTCGTGACTTAAATTTTTATTAACAATACCATCGGTATGGGTGTCAAGTAAAAGGGCTTGGACAGTCGAATTCGGCAAGCTAAGTGTGTTAGTTCCAAATTAAATACCGTGGATGTCACGGCCTAGTAGACTAACAAAGGAACGTGCTTAGGAACGAGAGGCACTTAACCGCGATAGAAAAGTACGTCGAATAGTAAATGGACGTTTTCGCTCATCTCAAACGCATCGGAGTGAACGAAGGCAAATTACCACCCCATGCAGTTCCTGACTGGTTATGGATGCTTTCTAAGCTTTCTAACCTCAAATGCGAGGGCACGATAAGGAGGACGCTAGGAATGCTGCGTTCAACTGTCCAAGATTTGAAGAATATGGTCACACCAAGAGGAATTCGAAGCAAATAGGGCAGTTCACTGAGGTCCCATCGTATCAATTGCAAGTAGCCTCCGCAAAGTAATACTTAACGGTAGTCTCGCGGTGGAGAAAGGTCGGAGAAAATTTTGTGTGACAAATAATTTCAGTATGTACGCGGCATGGATGGCGGATGGTGTACGCTGTTGGTAGTTCTTCAGTTTTGAAGATTTCTACTTTCAGCTCGTATAATAAAAAAACGCACACACACACATACATGCATGTACACATGCATATATTACAAGCCGTTATTATTTCTTGTTACACCTCTCTTTTACATTATTAGTCGATTACAGACTTACTGTCGTATTACTGTGCTTGTGTGGAATTTCTTCAGGTCTTTCATCGATCTTTTTCTTTTTCTCCGCATATGTATGCTATATGTCTGTATATAAGATCAAGGAGCGGATGGCTAGTCTAGTCTAGCTTTAATAAAAGCAAATATTTTATTGATATTATTTTTTCCAGATACTTTGAAGCATGTCCTTAGGACAGCATAACAGCTGTTGATGGCATGAAAATCTTCCTACAGGTTATTAAAAATTTGATTAAAAACTTTTTAATTAAAAAGGGACAGAGAGATGTTTATATGTTTTTGATTAGATATTGCATGTCCAACGCGCAGCTGTAGCTGAGCTCTACAGCCTGATGGGTTATTTTGTCAAAAAGTTTGCGACGCCCAGAAGGCAGCTTTAAAGACTTGACTAAGCATACATCACCATCTTCGTGAGAAAGCATAGTCAACCGTAATCGGAACAAATTTATCTGTGCTTAACAGTAGCCATACTTGTAAGATAAACTTAATTGCTATAATTGGGCCAAGTCGGCTCACTTGAATACTTTATTTCACTTACTCGCCTGCAACAATGCAAAGTTCGAAATTTAATAATAATTACGAATTTTTTTATAAATAGGAAGCATTGAAGCAACTTTCTGAACAAATTTTGCAATAGGAACGAACCAAAAAAAAAAATAGAGTTATCTGATCTAAACATGGCACAGTACATTTTTATGTCATATCCAAGTTGTGGACCATTTTTTTATTCGTTTCAAAATATCGAAACTTACACGTTGTTGCGATAAAAGGTCTTAAGCGTTTACATGACAGAGGCTTTCAAAAGATTGTTTTACCGCATCCGAAATTTATCACAGTCCTATACGATGTTAAAGTATTAGTTTTCACTGCGAGTGTATTGAGAAATGTAAAAATTGTTTTTTTTTTTTTTTTTTTTTTTTGAAATTGAGGTATGGTATAGGGAGGGAGTGATTGTAAAAATGACGCAATTCAATCTATTTTCAATTGTCTTAGACCTTCGTCCAAGGACTAGGTCAGTGTAGCGATAGTTTAAATACAAGAATACATTGCTAGATCGTACAGAGTGAGAGATGATTAAATTTGGCTTAAATCGATTGGGTGCACGGCCTTAATCGAGTGACATGATAATCGCAGAAGCGATTTTAAGTCGATATGGGTGTTGCATGCAACTATGCACACGCACACACACACACACACACACACACGCATTAGATATTTTGACCACAAGTGATATAAGGTTAACACATATAGTCGGTCATAAAGTTTGATTGAGAAAATATAACAAAAACTTGTATAACTACAGAAGTAAAGCAACAATTACGATATTCCAAATGCCAATTTTAAGTGTACAATGTTCACTTATTTCAAAAATTCATTTCATGTATCCATCATACACAGCCTAAAATGTATTCAAGTGCAATGCTTTATTTATATTTGAAAAAAAAAACTTTACATTAATATATACATATGTAAGCATATATACATTGTCCGTTATGGATGATGATATATTCACGTAGGTTAAAACGATCGAAATAATAGTTTTGTAAACTCGTATTTAACACACCACTAAATAGCCGAGAAGCACACTTTATACACTAATATACATTCTGAGCGATATCGGATTGTCTTTATATATTATTGACATTATTTGACTGTCTATTTACCCATACATTCATTTATATTCTAAATGTCTAAAAGTGCATATATTTATTTACCTTATTTTATACACTTTCAATTAATCTCTAAATTTTGTACACAAAATGTAGCACTTTTGACTTTAGTAATAAAGCAATAAATGAAATTGTGTCGATGACACAAGACCTTGTGAGAATTTCCCTTCAAATAATTTGCACATTTCCGTTTCTTAACAAGCGATATATTATCGTCCATAAGATAGAAAGTTAAATTAGGAAACTTCAAAAGCTACCTGTATTTACCGAAAGGTAAAAAACCAACTGGCCATTAAGGGAATTGCTTAAGTCACTTCGATAAAAGCGTGCGTTCATCGATTTTTGTCCGAAAATACCAAAAAAATAATATGTTTTCACTATGAACCATTAGATGGAAGGGTAAGTCAAAAATCTGTCGAATGAATTCATATACTTCACCTATATAAGTCATAAGATATTAAAAATATAAGGCGCTATGCTGTAATCATTTATATAACTACGCCTGCTTGCCCAAAAAATCTTCTAAGGAAAGAAAAGCTTAAACAAATCATTGAATCATTGATATCATTGACATCATTTTTCAAATGAATCTTGTCGATCTAGAAACTTCTTTACACTACGTAAGTTTCGGATGTCAGCTCAGCTCGTGAATAGGGTGTACTTAAGACATACGACTATCGTTTCGATACCACGCCGCCTTCTTCGATCCTGAGAAATGACACATTAACGAAACGGTAGCGGCATAGCTTACATATTCGTAGCCGTATATGTAAGTATGACTCGTTGTATGCAGAAAAGCTTATCAATAGATTCTGTCTTTTTTTTTTTAATTTATTTCTATTTAATATGAATTATTCAAAGCAAGTCCGTGGTTAGTCGTTAAAATCAGCAGATTTTTCATTTCGATTTCCTCGCAACCCAAAACCAAACGCTATATTTTACTAATTAGTAATAAAATTAAATTTAATTAATTACATGCATACGTATGTACGTACAATTTTTGCATAAGCCTTTCCAATACCATCGGTGGCACCGGTAACCACTGTAATGAAAATGCATTTAAATTGAATTGAATTTCAAATTAATATTTAAATCTTATTACATAAATAAAGGTACACAATAGAGATCTATGATAATCGGGAAAAATAGTTAAAGTTTTTGATACCATTGGTTAAAGCAAAAAACATTCGGAACCTGTGGAAAAACATTGATCTTGAGCAAAAAAGGGTGAACAAAAGCCTGGATGTTCTACGGACATTCAAATATTGGAATTGACAAAATGCAAAACTAAACAGTGCCCTTAAAATGTGTTTAGGTAGTGAACACGCGCACAAAATTATCAAAAGACCGAAACAACTTACAAAAAAAAAATCGATAAATAAATAAATAGAATATTTTGAATGACAATATGCGGATAATACTAGATAGCGATTTAAAGGTTATCGTAGACTTTTCTTTAGCTCTTTTAGCACACTTTGGATAATGGGTTGTTCAAGACTTCGCCCAAGGCAAGACAAGGTATATAGTAGTAGTAGTAGTGTTGCTTGTTTTATGTAATTCATAACGTACCGGCCCAAGAACCCATTTGCCGTATATTGATTTTAGGTCCAAGGCATTTTGGACCAATTATATTCAAGTATAACCAGGGTATTAATTTGGCCACAATATGATAGCCTACAATCGACACAGCCGCTGTGCCTATTAACCGCATACACTTTGAATCAAAATCCATTGATTAGAAATATTATTGGATGTTTTTTTCTTTTCCTTTTTTTTTCGTTTTTTTTTTTCTTTTTTTTTAATATTCTAAAGAAATCAGTTGCGTTTTATACTGATAGCACAGAACTTTTTCGCTATCAAATTCAGACTAAATTAATTCTATGGTTCTATTATTTTTACGGTTGTTTGCCGTATGCCAATATTATTACAATTAATCGACGAAAAAAGCGCACATTTCTTTTCAGTATCCGTTAGGTAAGTTTTTTTTGTTTTTTTGTTTTTTTTTTAATTTATTTCAATTTCATTTTCACACTCTCTTTAGATAAGAAACCTTGGCACTCGCTCTCTTTCTTCATTGTCGCATATATATATATATATATATATATATATATGGTTGTTGTTTGTAAATGCTCAATTTAAATCATTGCTACTTTTATATAAATATTTCCTGCAAATTTTTGGGGGTTTGGGAGCGTGTATTATTTTTAAATTCTCTACATTTGTGTCTAAATAATGGGCAAAAATCCCATATCGCACCACATCACCAATATTAATACGTTAATGTATTTACATGCACATGTATGCATATAAATATATATATCTATATATATATGTATATATCCCCTTAAATAGGCAATGTTTTGCGATACATTATTTCTTGTTTCCATCGGGCAGTGTTGCATTTCAATTTTAAGGCTGTATTTTAAACTATTTACAAAAAATAAATATAAATTTCGTGAAAAAAAAAACATATAAAATAAATATACATAAAATATAACAAATTTTTATACCCTACACCACTTGTAATATAGGAGCTATATTAAGTTCGGGCGGACGTATGCAACATCCAGAAGGACTCGCGCTAGACGAATTTTTGCTTATATCGAACAAATTCGAGATGAACGATTTAAGCTGGTCTGCCTGTTCGTTTGTCTGGTTTTCTTGTGTTTAACTTATAGGTCGCAATTGATGAGATATTTTGATGAAATTTCCTGCACTAACTTGTTTTGGCCCAAGGACGAACGTTATTCAAAATCTTTCGGATCGGACCACGTTTTCGACCATTATTCATATAACATCACTTGTAGTGTAGAGTACATTAAGTTAGTGAGAATGTATGTAACGAGCTTAAGAGAAATTCGCCTTCTATTATACCGATCGATTCAGAATCATAATCTGAATTTATCTGTCTTTCCGTCGCTTTTGTGTCCAAGTACATTTGTGTTCACACTACAGTTCGCAATTTTTGAGATATTTTAATGAAATTTCGAAAAGAGGTGGGTTTTGACTCAAGGACGACGGCTTCCCATATAGTGCCCAATTTCGTAAAGATGTTGTATGGGGAAAAATTGCATTTTTTAAAATATTCTCGGCAAAAGTGGCTAAAGAGTAGTATATTGACATTCTGAATTGGTGTGAAAACTTTGGATCGGCTGGCGAAGATTTTTGAACACTCTCTCATTTAGCCGTTCTTACAGAAATGAAAGCTTTATAAAGAGGTCGAATTTGAAATATTTCATACTGAAAATTAGCTCATAATAGTAAATTGACAAGGAAATTTACTTTACCGAATTTGGGCCACATAGGTGTATTTTTTGGATACCGCTTATCAGGCTTCTCATGAAACGTAAATCCTCGCCAATACGCCAATAAAGCCTAATTGTTAATTTTTTAGTGATCAAAATTTATTTATGATAGTAATTAAATAAAAAAATTAAGTGGACTTAATTAGAACTAAATAGTAGTAAGTCCTTTGGCAAAACGATTCATTTTTAATATTTTATGATGAAAATTAATTCATAGTAGCGTTTCAGGAAACAAATTAACGGTAAGGTAGTAAATTTGAATCACGATTACTTATGAAGCCCAACATATATGGGCGCTATCACGAAAGGCAAACCTTCTAATATGCGAGCTTTCATGACATTTATCGCTTTGAGTGAAAATAATGTGTACTTTTTGGGGCGTTATTACCGAAGAGAGCGAATAACTGCAATTGTCATAGCAGTGTGGAGCATGTAGTAGTCGGCATTGCCCGGTAATAATGTTCGTACTTCTCTTGCAAGTTCGTTATAAGAATAACTGCATTAAGCAAAGTAGCAAAGTAGGGTATTTAATAAGCTTCTAGAGCTTTTACTTGCTTTAGTTAATAATCAATGTTTTCGCGCAATCATTGGTATAAGATAATAAGTGTATTTACAATTTTTAGTCTATAGTGAAATTTCTGATTTGTAAGAAAGTGCTCCTTAATGCTGAAAGTTTTTTACAATTAAAAATGATATTTTATATGGATTGTTTATTTAATCTCATCAAATCTAAAAGGAGATCACTCAAAAAAGCAGAGTTTTCTGAAATAATTATTTAGTGGCTACCGCTTTGCGTTTTCCACTGAGAAGGCTTTGTGCGATTTTATCGTTTTGGTTTTGTTATTAAAATCGAACTATCAAGTCGATGCTAAAACCGTATCACCGTATCCTAAACATGCCTTCTGGCAAGATTGTAAAATACACTGAAGAACTGCCCTAACAAATTTGATAAAGCTGAAAAATTGCCCTGACAAATACGATAAAGCTGAAAGGTCAAAGTCATTCGAATTTTTTTAAAGCCGTTTTTTGATCACTAGGGAAAGGCTAAAGCTACACAAAGCTATAATTAGAAAATATTGTTTAATTAATTTTTGATTAGAAAATCGTATACGAAAATGAACAAAACTGACCAGCATTAATCCCTCTTATATAGAAAATATCTGTCAAGAAACTGCGAAAGAACCTGCTAACATTATATCACCTGTTTCGTTCAAGTCTAAGCGAAGCCGAAGCGTTCTAGCATAATTATTTTTCATTATTCTATTGTTTATCTTATTGGACTTATATCAATTCCTAATTCTACGATGTTGGGATAAATCAAGATGCTTTCTGAACGTTTTGTACTATTCATAAATGATTATGACTGTAGACCTTCTCGAATAATTGAAATTTCGTTCAAGTTATGATCAAATCTTATATCAAAATTATATGGAGAATTGGAATATAACTAATACAAAAAAAATTTCCAGAGTACCATGGAAACTCGAAAACTAATTTTATTTAATTTTGAATGCCTACAGAAATTTTTATAAAAAATAAAGCAAAGTTTACTATGATATTAAGTAAAATGAAAGATTTTAAAGACTTAATTAAATAATTCGTTAACGTTCGGACTCGTGTCCCAGTTTGTTTTTTTTTTAATGATTCGTTATGGTTTCAGAGTAACCTTCTAGTGGCAGTCGTTTGATTGAACAAACACAATAAATTCGAATATTTTTTTTTTTTTTTGGAAAACTAAAGAAAATATTCAAGAGAGTACGCAATGGTAACTTGCTTTTAAAAAGAGTTGTGTGTTTGGAACGTTTAAAATATGAAGTAAATAACAACCTAATCAGATGAGAAGGTCCTCATCGAGTTCGCGACGAGAATTTTGATTATAGAAAGGGACTTTTCGAGGTTCATTTTTACGTGCTTGCTATGTATAAAGGCGATGTGTCTGTAGATCGATTACGGCCCATTTGCTCAGTTGAATTGCAAAGTTTAGTTCACTCTTGCTATTAAATGATCTGATGACCGCACGATAGTTCATGTATCCCCCCTGGTGGACATAATTAATCAAGAGGCGCATAATTTTTTTTTTTTTTTTTATAGTTTATTCTAAGACGCCTTCAGCAAAAAACATGCGTACGTTCCATAAATGTTATATTTTTAATGTAAAACATGTGATAACAAACAAATTTTGCTAAATTAAATTGTAATCATATTGTAGTCATAAAGTTTTACTACAAGAGATGTTTACTGATGTAATTTATGATATTGCCTTTTGCCAGGTTTGAATGATGGATTAACTTCTCATACAAACCGATCCGCGTAAGTGTACTTAAACAATTTCGAACTATGTTTAATACAAAAATATCTTGCCTGCTATTCTGTGTAGTTTTGTTTTTAACAAATGAAGAAATATTTAAGGATATGAAGAAAATACGAATAAAAACGAATAAATAATTCTAACAGCCACCAAGTAAAGCACATAAGGCGCGCTTATAATCGCCAGAAGTTTCAGACTATAAGAAGAAATAATAAAATTAACATGCTGGCAAATTAGAAACTTAAAATACGTTTCATACCTTAACGGCACTGTAAAGGGTGCGATTGTAGAGTCGTTCAAATTCTTGTTTAATATTACCCAAATCTATTTCGGAACGTGAAACTATAATTCTTATTAAAGTAGTGTCATCAGTGCCAATGCCATCCATGGCTTTAAAAAGACGTATAGCGAAAAAGGTTGGTGGAGATTGGACACATTCCACTGAAAAGATAAAAGTAATTTTATTTAAAAATATGCTCCAGAAATAATTATATTACCTATAGCCATCATAGCATCATGCAATTTTCCACTCATTTCATGCTTAATGGCCTGCTCTATAGTTTGGCCAGATAATTGCTTATACTCCTCAAATATCAAACGTAACTGGGCGAAGCTGCTATGAGCTAAAATGCGATTGAATACTTCTTCGTCAGTGCCTAGCTTGGCTTCGCCAGCATTGTATAGAGCTTGTGCTAGTTCTTTAGCTTTTTCAGCATCGACAGTACCAGCTGGATCTCTCACCCCTGTCACAATTAATGTTAAAAGACGTCGGAAATGACCCGAAGTTTCACTGCAGATATGTTCAACTAATGGACGATCGTACATATTTTCATAACAACTGACTATATCAGCCATTTCATCATTAGACTTAGTGCAGAGAATCTCAACCAAAGTGCTTTCGTTTGTGCCAGCACCTTCCATCGCTTTGTGCAGTTGCTTGCAAAGATACTCGACTGGACGTAGCATTAAACCAACAATAACACCTTCAAATCTCCCTTCTAATTCACTTTTTAAATCATCGATTAAATCGCGCCCATATTCACGCAAGAAATGCTCCTTAATTTTTTGACGCTGGGCATTGGAACGCGCTGTTAACATATCAATTATAGCTTTCTCATCAGTGCCAAATCCTTTCATGGCTGCACGCAAAGCTGCAGCATCCGCCTCAATATCGAAATTTTCAGCGGGCAATATAGTTGGCATAGGCTAGATATTTAATGAAAACTTCTAGTTACATTTATTGGTTCATTTATTACAAAAGTTTGTTATGCTTACGTTATAATCCATTTTAAAGATATTATTTTTCTCTATCTGCAATTTTCAATTTTTTTTCTTTTTTTATGTTCCGTATATTGAAGTCTAAAACAATTGCTTTAATAAGAAAAAATTTTCTGTATTATAAGTGTCGTCAATACATATAAGAACAAAAATCGCTTAAGCTTTGTTGTTATAAAAAAGCGCAAAAACGGTTTTGACTCGCATATAATTTTGTAAGGGCATTACAGATTCTTTAGCTGAACGAAGTATTCCTGAAAGGTCGAATAAGTGTTATTTTTTAATGAACTTACATTACTTTCTATTTAGTCAAAATTACGAGTCAGAGTTGTCTAAATAATAAGATTTTTTTATTTAAAATGTTGCATATACGTCAACATATTGTTTGAAGATTTGGCAGAAATGCTATATGAAATGCATTTGATAAATGTGACATGATAACATTCCCTATTAGTAGCCAATCGATTTCATTTGGCATAATAGTCGACATTTATGGAAGGAATGAAAGAGAAGGGTGAGCGTAACTTGAGTGCTTTTTAATATGCTTTGTATTATTAATGCACCAAATACATATGCAACGGAAAATTACAAGACGAAGAGCAACACGGTGAGACTTCTCATCTATAATTTTCTAAAATAAATTATTGCACTTAAGAAGTGAAGAAAATAAGCATGTCCACTGTAAGCAAACAGTTGTTTATTTGGGAAATTTGTTTAAGCAAAAATTAACGATTTTCTTATAAGAATACTTGACAGCACTATAGTAGGCTAAATAAGTAAATCACGTATCAGCACGTGTCGTTTCGAAGCAAGTAAAATAAATACGCATCGTTGCTGAATATAAACTAACGTATTGAGAAGTGGCTAGGCAATTGGCCCTTCTAGCTTACAGCTAAGAATTATACATGATATATGAATATGCTTGATTATCAAATACGCTTGTATATGAAACAAATATATAACGAGAAGACACGTTGTAGCTAATCTCCACTCATCCTGGAATGTTTGACTATATGGCCAAAGCTAAGGCAATAATAGCACATAGGTAACTCCTCGTGGGGGCGTACTAGGAACAAAATCCACTCAGCGTATGTTCTAAAGAGCAATCCATAGTAGTGTCGCAGCTTTTCAATAAAATATTGGTCTTGCTGTCAGCATTTGCCTATGGGTTCGACACTAGACGTATCTTCTCGTCGAACTCTTGGCGACTAGAGAATAAACTTTTCAGTTTCGTCTCGTGCAACTTATTCAAAAAAGAGGACGGAGTTCTCTTATGATCGACAAGCTGCACTAAAACTCTCGCATTTAATTTGTTAACAACCGGGAATCCCGATTTCCCCAAACTTTGCCACTCATGCCAAAACAATTGGACAAAGAAAGGTTTAGCACCTCTGTACTTGTTTGCACTCCAATGCAATCAGCCACCACGTAGCGCAACAGCATTGCACAACAACACAGCAATAACCAAAATACGGAAGCGCACTTCAAAATTAGCAATTGGAAATTTAACAGTACACTCCAAAATCAGCAGCTCATTTGAAGAATGTACCTCAAACCAGCAGATGCAATGATATTACAATCACTTATTTGATATGTGAAAATTATGCTCAACAAATCCATTAGTTCAAAAATTTTATATAATTTTTTTAATTTATAATAAATTTAAACCTTTTTCCACAGGCCACAAAATTAATCGAATCAAAAACCTTAGATCATATTAATGTTGACTTTGGTGATTTTTGAGGAATAAATTGTACAACACTGTGCAAGTAATAACACGTGTGTACAAATGAAATCTTTAGTAGAAAATTGTTTGATAACTCACAATTTAACCTCAAAAAAAGGCTAAATCACAATGCACGAACACTTATATGCACTAATACTAAATTATTTTGTCAATTTTGTCAATATTTTTTAATTTTCACAAAAATTTCGCAAAAAACTTTTATTTATGTTCCTAGCATTTAAACACACGTCTATATTCAACTAACTTCATACATCAAATAAGTACTCGTCATATGTAAGCGTGATTGTGTTATGGCATTTTCAAACCGCAATGCCTAACTTTCTATTACTATAAATTAAATTTCCGCAAAGAATTTATTTCTTCTTAACTAGACTAGAATATTATTATTATTATTATTAATTTCGCCAGAGAAATAAATTCTAAGACTAAACTCTTAAAGCACTAGCATCTAAGGCTATCGGCTTTTATTAAAAACTCTATCGTACTTGAGATTCGAACCCACGATCATTGATCTGTTAGTCGAGATTCCTCGCCTTCGGCTATTCAGGCGGACAGACTAGAGTAAAGCAAGAAAATTGCGAAAAGAATTTGTACGGTCTACTGGGCTGTTATTTAATTTTGCGAACTTTTTTAAGCCAAATACCCTAATAAATCAATGACGTGCTTTTAGAAATGTCAGATTTCCATTCAGCGATTCTTTTTAAAATCGTTTACAGGATTTCTGTAAAAATAATAGAATACAATAGGGGACGATCGTGTAACATCTCGACCAAAGCTTTTTTATGCACTTCGACAAGTTCTTCTAACCGCTCTGTAAATGCTAAAGGTTCCCGAATCCTTTCTGACCTCATCACCCATCTTCTGATTATTTCAATGGTTGCTCTTGGCTGAAGTTTGAATTGTTCTGCGTTGGCGTGTTATGGTGTGATGCCGGCGATGGAGGACGGTTTACGTTTTGGATATTTATGGCTGATGAAAATTGATTCATATCTATCGTTGATAGCAATGGCTTGGACTTGTTTGTTCATCTCGTTGTTGCTTAATGTCAACTTAGATTGTGTGTTTCATTAGTCTACTGTTGAACCTCGGCAATCTGATAGCTTGAAAGCCTTCAATATTTAATTTAAAAATATTATATAGATTTCTTACTCTTTCTTTTGCCGGCTTTTGGTATATTCTTTGCATATTTCGCGCACTTCTATGATTAGTTTGTGGTAGCGTTCTTAAAAGGTGTTTCGGGTCTCTATGTATTAATACATTTGTATTCATAGCAACAAATATTGGTTCTGCTACCCACCGCGAAATAAAAATGGTAAATTGTTCTTTAAAATGCAATCCGTAAGGATAGCAATTTGTATGAATATGTATGCATACGTATGCATACATATTTGTATATGCATGTATGTACGTATACGCATTAATCTGACATGCTTTTCAAAATTGCAAGGGATGTCATCCGTTCTCATTTTGGATCGTTAAGTTTAGGTTTAACGTCGATATTAGATTTTTATCTTTTTCGAATAACAAAAGCAACGCATACAGAGTGAGCGGTATAGGCGTCTAACGGTAATTGAAGTAACTTTAGCCAGGCAATCGTTTGTTATCATAAAAAAATATTGCCTGGTAAGATATTGATGTTAATCGTGGGCAACAGACCATACATTTATTGTCTACGTATGTGTACAGGAACAACATATTCGTTGTATTTTAAAATGAATTGTTTTTGTCCTTGCATGCATATATTGCACTATGTGCTATATGCATTCTGTTGTCAATATAATCATCACGATTATCGTGCTGAGCATCGTTAACGATGCGTATTGGTTCCGATGGTCTGTGAATATATATGTAGTTAATATCGTCATCACTACTATTATCAATGCGTTACTATAAAAGAGTTGCAGCAGTTGTTGTTCTATCATTCTGTATTATTGCGCTATTTAGCCTCTGGCCCTGTGTTAACCAAAAGGGTTTTAACTAATCACGCTGCCAACACCGTAAGTGTTTCGCAATCGTTACACCATCAACTGTTCTTGTATTCTGTTTACTGTAGATTGTATGGCGATTTTGGGCGTTAGTCGTTTGCAAAACACCCGCCTTGTAATTTATGTAGCTTTTATTGAAGCTTATAAATGCGTTTTGATACAAGAACTACAGCAACAAAAGCATAACGCTATCATATATATATATATATATGCACATGTGTGAATGCACGTTAAAGAGTGAATAGAAGATACTTTGAATACGTTGCTTAATTTCATCCAAATATTTTCTATTATTTATATACATAAATAAAAAGAAGTAACTCAAAGAAAAACTGAACAGTTTATGCTTATTGTGGGTAAGGTTTCAAATGCTTATCATCGTAAACTGTACGATTTCCACAAATTTCACTATAACTTTGTATTATTAATTTTTTTTTTTTGTTTTTTTTTTGAAATGAATAATCTCTCAGGCGATGTCCCGTGTTCGTTTAATACTGTGATCGTAAAAAAGAAGAGAGGAAACACAAAGGGAGGTAACAGCAGCTTAGTGGGTTCGCGTCCAATGGGTAAGTGTTATGTTTAATTTTCCACTGAGCGCTTACCTACAGCTTCGAATAAAGAAAACTCTACCGCACTTGAAATTTGAATCCGCGGATAGTGAGTTGGCAGTCGCGGTTCTTACCTACTGGGCTATTTAGGCCGATAATAATATGTTGAAATTTTCTTACAAGTCGTTTGTGTTGCAACGTTAAGAATGGACGGACCTGGTCTACTCGACTCAGAAACTAAAGCTAAAAAATCCGATTGTCTTTTTAAGACATATTGCAAACGAAATGAGGAAATCAGTGTAACCAATTCACAGGGGACATAGAAGGTCAAATGATTATCATTTTCATTTTAATTTTTTCTACCTTCGCAAGTCGCTGAAATATGAATTGCCTCAACGTCATATTAGTCATTTTGCTTTATTGAATTCTTGGTTGTTGCTTGATGTTGCAAACGGAGTGAAAAAAATTTCTTAACACTTTTCATAATAACCGCGACTAATAGAACAACGCACACGTAGTGTCCCCAAAATTCTGAATACTAAAGTGGCGCGGTAATAATGTTTGCAAGATTCGATGAAGAGAGAAAGCTTTAGCCGATAAAATATGAACATTGGATACGGCTAAGAAAATGTTTCTCTGTATTGAGGTAAAAAGCGGTAGCCTTGCGGCAGCCCAAGAACAGAATAAAAGTGCTGATACAAATATAATATGTTGGATACGCATATCTGCAAAATTAAGACGATTACAAAGCTTATGCTTTTCATGAAAAAGTTCACGGCATTTTTTCTTCAGAAATTAAACACAGCTTTGTGCCATACGTCACTTGTGGCACTTGTAGGAATGTCAAGTTT